TTGCCACTACCAGAGCCAGAAGTAGCTGAACCGGAGCTCAAGTTTCCATCAGCAGCCATCTTCGAGAGATTGCTCGTAGCCGGATCATTCCTATAATTGAAAACCCTTTCCTGTGGCAACGGTCCGGATCTCGTCTTGATCCGGTTCAAACCCAGAGACGAAGCCATGATAGGAGAAACAAAAGCAGGTCCCTCCTTGGCTTCCGCGGGCGGAGGTTTCTTTGGCTCAGAACTAGGAGACAAGTTGGATTTTCCAATGGAGTGAGTTTGAACATCCGAGGAAACTTGTTTGCCCTTAGATGAAGCATCCTTCTTCTTCAAACCACCTTTAACCTGCGTCTGCTTGCAACCAACTGCAGCAAAACCAGTAACGGAGGTCGGATTAGGGATCGGAGGTTCCTCCTTGGAAGCGGATTTAGACTTCTTTTTATCTGATCGTATGGGAGAGTTAGAGCCAACAGATCTGGGGCTATTAGAACTATCAGGACTAGAAGATCCAGATTTCTTCGAAGAGAAGAAGAGCTTGTTCTTGAATACCATCTCTCTGATTCCGATGATTCAAAACCTAAACACCAAATCCAACCATAAATCCAGTTGTCAATTTCAACACTTCCGACTTCAGTACAACAATAGCTCTCTCTGTCTCTCGCTCTATGACTGTCTCTTATGTGTGCTTATCTCTGTGGAGATCTTCAGAGTTTTCGAGGTGAGGAAGAAGAAAGCGTACCTGTAGTGGGGGAAAGCCTAGATTCAGTGCTTACTCTTTTAATTAATTTACTACAAATGGAAAACGGTCAATACTCGTTTAGACTATATTTTGACTTTTTTTTCATTTTAATTTTCTTTTAATCCAAAATTAATTTATGTTGAATCATATCTTAACAAAACAACTCATATTTTCTTCGCAGAACTTATCCACCGTTGAAAATTATTATTAGCCCTTTTGTATTGTTGTTAATAGATATCCATAAATAACACATGAATCAACCTGTTGTTGTTATAAATCAGATAACCAAGAAAACCATCTTTATGAAAATCTAAAAGTTAAGTGCAGCTGATCAACAAACAACAAGGTGTGAATCCCTTCCTAACTTTATGCGGTCCATAGATTTGGGCCATTCCTTATCAATTTGGGCCTATATCACTATTACGAACTTTTTCATAATATTAGAGCTGAGTTTTTTTTTTTGTTTTTTCGCATTACAAGGATTTGTGTTAGTAGTGCGAGACATGTCAAGGAAGAATAGTACTTCAGGCAAAACAAACACACAAGTCACAAGAGATCAAGACGGTTCAAGATGAGTTTGATCTATACTTCTCTTTACTTCCAGAACCATAATGTATCATATTGGCTAATAAGTTTAAGCTTAAGAGATAAATAAATGTATCTTTTCCTCCTGTGATCTTGTCATATAGAAGTTATAAATAAATTTGTTAGCACTCCTATTATGATACTTGGTTGAACCCGGTTAACTTTGGTTATTGATATCGGTTTACGTAATAAGATGAGCGGGTATATAAGCTGGATTGTAACAGACTTTGTAATATACATTTGATGCATGAATAAAGAGTTTGTTACATTGCTTCACTTATCTTCTCCGATCTTCAATTCTTCTCTGATCTTCCTTTACGGTGATTCAGAGTTTGATAACTCCTCGTGTTAACTTTATTAATGCGATTTTTAATTATCAGAACTGAAACAGAAGAGAGTATATATTTTTAGGTCCAATGCCAATGAAAACTCAAATTGATGGTTAAAGTATTCATACAAAAGCATAAAACAAAACTAGGAGGAGATAATAGAACGACATATAGGACAACGTGTACTCTTCGTAAGCCATTTATATAATGCAATCATGGTGGTATTTGTGCTTGCAATCTCTTAGCCTAACGTAACCAAAACCTATGATGAGATCTTCGAGACAGATTGGGGAAATTAACTTCTTCTTCGTGTCTTTCCATACATTCTCGTAAATGCATGTCCATGGACATCAAAATGGTGGAGAAACCGCAAAAAAGGTCCGCAAACAGGATGAAATTAAGTCGGTACATGATAGCAACACGCCAAGGTACACTATCTAGTTCTCTGGATGTCCCCAAATCCAATAACTAAACATTCAAGTAACAGTTCACACCACTAGAGACATCCCATACGAACATGAAGGCGAGATGGCTTCCAACAAATAACAAATAAAATATCGAAGCCGATCTCTGACTCGACGAGAACTACCATGTGTCGTCACCAATTGATCAACTGAAGCACCGGAACTAAAATAAATAAAAAATACTCTAGTTGATCGAAATCTAGTTCGTTGCTTTTATATTTATCATAAATTTACATGTCCCTTGATTTTATGTAAAATATTATAGATATAGATAGTTTCTTAAATTGGGTTTGATATAAGAATATATATAATACATATATAATGGTAACACTAACATAATTTCAACACTTATATAATGTTGTAAAAAAAATTAAACACGAAACTAAATACTATATGTTAAAAATAATTTTATATCGATGTCTAGTACATCTTATTCTCCAAGTCTTTTCGTTTAAATTCATAGGCTTCACATCTTCACTTCATAAACGGATATTAATAATCCAAAATACTTACTTGATCTGCAAAATATACATACGGCTCTTCAAATACCTAATAATTTTCTCTTTGCTATTATTGATTTTGTTTATATACCTTTATACATGATTATTTTGTTTTCAGTCGATTTGAATACAAATTATTAAACTATTTGTAACTGTTGTATCAAAAAAATATAAATTTTTTTTTGTTGTTGTAGCTGTTGAGTTTGGTTCAAAATCGAGTTAGGTTTGGTTTTTGGTTGAAAAAAAATGTATCCATTCTTTTGTCTCGTGTGTTATATATTTTGTTAATCTATATCTATTCTTAGCTAGATGGTTGTAAAGTCTTGTTGTCGATAAGGATTATGAAAAACCGATTAATATACCAATATACTAAATAAAATAAAAGTAATGTAGTGGTAGTCAGAGTAAACTATTTATTTTCTATTTTGTCTGTTAGGTGTTAATCTATATATATTCGATTACTTGAAAATATGGGTTCCATAGAAACATTTGTAATTTGGAAAAGGACCGGTTAGTTTTATACTTTTATCCAACCAACGAGCTAGAATAATCTCTTTTCGTTTATAAATTATAAAACAAACAAATACTAGGATATCAATGTTGTTGATCATGTCTTCGGTAATACTCATAATTAAGTACCGATATATGTATAACTCAAAACAACACTTTTGGGTTTAGATGTCTTTACATACACAAAAAGAAACCTTGAATAACAATTCATACAAAAAAAATAAAAATAACTAAAGATTCTGAATATAGAACAATAGAAGAAAGCCTTTCAATCACCTACCAGACTAAAAGATGTATAGACTAATAGTGATAATGAACAAAGCCTTTCCATCAATAAATCACTGTCAATTTTGTTTGTTCATTAATTCTACATATATAGCTAATTAAAGATACGCCCGCCGTTTTCCATAATATAATCCTTTATCCTACTTTTGTTGTATTAAAAACCAGATTAAAGAAGTCGGGTGTTGTATTGTGGATCATAGCGTGAAGGAAACGTTTATGGCATCGTTTTGATATATACATAGGTCCACTTTTGATCTGATCTACTATATGAAATATTATTTTTCCTATTAATGCACTAGATATTATTGTGATGTACATATATTAAAGAATAAAGATCAAGATATAGAAAAATAAAGGCTGGAGAAAATGACGTGTGCTACATACATTTCCCTAGAATCAGAAATGTTATCGTGGTAGATAGAGATCGTCGAGTTGTTTGTGCTTGGTGACATTGACTGCTTTTCATTTAAAATAGTATACTTTTGTTGGTGGTTTTTAAATATACTTTTGATAAAACAATTCACAACTTCTATCACTATACTATATATTGTGAAATACTTAAATACGTTTTTTAAAACATTACTTTATACCATATTATACTTCTTATTACAAGATTAAATAAGAAAGGTGATGCACTAAATGGCGTAATTTCCTCCCTCGCACCACATGCATGATGCATCTCTATGAATACACAAAAAAAAAAAAAAAACGATGTCAACGAGTGGTTTTAGACTTTTAGTAATAGTTTACGTACATTAAAGAACTATTTTTCCTTTTCGTACCAATAATTACCTTAATTAATAATCACAAATTTCGTTTTAAGCAACATACAATTCAGCCCAACAAACTTGTTTTTATATAATACTACAATATTATATAAAAGTACACTGACAAGAAGTAATAACTTTTAAAAAGGTGATTTGAATATTCGAGTATGATGACATAATCACATGGGGGAGTATTAGATTAATAATGTTGAGTTGTGAAACTATAAATTCCGCAACAATTATATTTGTGTGTTTGTTTTATAATCGTTATATGAAAGTTAGATTTGAAATAAATAATCTTAGGAGTATAAAAAACAAAGAATAAAATACATAAACATTTTGTTTGCCAAAAACGCAACGTGCTTATGTTTTATCTTGGTCAAGACAGAACGTGCACGAAAGTAGCAGAGTAACTAGAATTTGAGCGGCGAGACAAACGAGTTTTACCACTCACGCGCTCTGTCTCGCGCGTTAGCCGACAAAAAACAAAGTGTTGTGATTGAAATATTAAATAAAGAAGTAAAATAAATTAAATTTGCCGGTTCGCGACTCTCATTAAGCACGTGCCAGGACACGTGTGTAACCACCAAAAGGAACGCCACACACTGCACGACGATGCACGTGTCTTTTGACCGACTATATCCGGTGTGACAACCTGTAGCTGGTTTTTCCACCAATAGGAGATGAGAGAAAAAAGGAATCTTTTCTTTCTTTCTTTTTTGTTATAAAGAAAAATCTCAAAAACTGAAATTAAATTAAATTAAATTAAATGGTACAATTTCACATGTCGCATGCGATTGATTTGTTAATAAAAACTAGAAATCGCTGTGTGTGTGTGTGTTGTTAACTTCATTCCACGTTTTTTCATTTTCTCCCTCAAAAGTCTCTGTTTATTCCCTTTTTCTTTTTTTCCTCCGGTGAAGCTGTGTATCTGCTTGATTACGGCGTTTGATTGACACAGAGATTGTTGTGACGGCTTTACTATAATAGATGGAGAGGGATTTTTTGGGATTGGGTTCGAAAAATTCTCCGATCACGGTCAAGGAAGAAACCAGCGAAAGCTCTCGAGATTCAGGTTTCTTAATACTATTCCTCTTCTTCGATTTTTTTTTTTCTTTTTGATGAATCTGTTTTTTTTTTTTTTTTCTCAAAGTCTCTCTGTGTTAGTCTAAACATACTTAATTTCCAAACACAAATCATCGAATCGATCTGTGGTAGTTTTCTGGAACAATTATGCGTTAGGAGTACTTGACTAGCTAAGTACTACTAGAGTCTAGATTGATGTTTTGTTTTTTTTTGGAAACCCTGTTTTTATGGCTCGCTTGGGGAACTGAAAATTGTCAGTTTGTCTGTATGAGCAGAGAGCAGAACATTGTTCTCGGGAGATGAAAGAACACTGTGGATATTATTCGGAAACTAGTTTTGTTGTGTTCTTTTAGAACTCCCCTGTGTGAAACATGTCTTCGGTTTCACACAATCCGGCTGCTTGTGTTTTGTTACGCAATTATACTCAGTAAATTTTTTCTACGTGAATTTTTTGTTTGAAGAGTCTTAAAAATTTGAGAAAGTAACTTTTAATTAGTTTATTAAAAAGAAAAAAAGAATACGTAAAATGTTGGAAAAGAATGGCTGATTAGAAGATTTAAATATAGAGATGGTTGGTAGTAGGTGGAAGACTTTTAAATAATACAAATACTTATAGAGTTCGAGTTGGATTAGTTTATAAGATGATTAAATTAAATAGTATTATACTGATTGTGTGTTTATTAAGTGAAACTACTGGCGCAGGGGTTATTAGAATATTAGTAAAGTAGTTGATGGGTACAAATACAATGTGAAATGTATATATAGTTTTCTCAACCACGAGGAATATAAATTATTTCCACTTTGTTTTCTTATTAAGCCAAAAACGTGCCATTCCATAAAAGTAGTGCATCGACGACATGTGGTGTGTGGAGTTTAATAAAGTTTTTGAATCTCTCTTTAATTTAAAAAATACAAAATCTTATAGTATTATTTTCGTACAATGACTTTGAATAAATGTTTTTTTTTATAAATTAGACACGGTTTTCTAAAGTGGTTTTGCCTCGTTGAATTTGTCAACAGCATCAGATTCTATTGGTTAATCTTTCTTTCTTTCTTTTTTTTTTTTCTTTTTTTTTTCTTGGGTTCGTTTTGTTGATGTAAGATCTCGAGACATTTATGGTTAACAGTTGATAATATACTTCATGTTTGACTTTAAAACTGATAAGTTGGATTGTTTCCTTTTTTCTTTTGTAGCTCCGAACAGAGGAATGAACTGGTCGTTCTCAAACAAAGTCTCAGCTGCTTCTTCGCAGTTTCTATCTTTCAGGCCATCTCAAGAAGATAGACAAAGAATGTCTGGAAATTATCATCTGCCGCACTCTGGTTCCTTCATCCCATCATCAGTTGCAGATGTTTATGATTCAAACCGCAGAGCTCCTTACAGCTCTGGACAGGTATTTTATCTTCATAAACCTATGCTAACCAAGATCCATTTCCCTTTTTCTTTTGTTTTCCTTCCATGCAAGATATAACTTTAAAAGCGAGCCCTGTTTTATGAGCTTATAGCAATTGGTTTCTGTCTAGTTTGGCACAAGTTTCTGTCGTGATCCCACGTGGATCAACATTGGTAGTTTATGGTAATTGAGTTTGTGGATCTAATCTTGTTTTAATTCATTTCAAGTGTAATTAAGTTAAGCTTCTCATTTTAGATAAATTAGTTCAAACAAGTTCCTTACACGTTTCTAACGGCTTGTTGCTCTCAGGGAGTAAGAATGTTCCCAAATTCAAATCAGCAAGAAGAAACTAACGCAGTTTCCACGTCCATGCCGGGTTTCCAGTCTCATCATTATGCACTAGGAGGAAGAAGCTTCATCAGCAATAGCAATAACTCACAACCTTTGGTAGGAGTTCCTATCATGGCACCTCCAATTTCAATCCTTCCTCCTCCCGGCTCCATTGTAGGGACAACTGATATTAGGTACCCACCTGTTTCTCTCTTCTCTGTTAAGTCATCGTATCATACCTTGTGGCTAAAGAAATCCTTTCTACAGTTTCATTATGAAACTTTCATAGTTAACTAAAAGACTTTGTTTTTTTTTGTCAGATCTTCTTCCAAGCCAGTAGGGGCACCTGCACAGTTGACGATCTTCTATGCTGGTTCAGTTTGTGTTTACGATGAAATATCTCCTGAAAAGGTAACTCAATCATCTTTTTCTACATATGCATCTCTTGTATTCGTTAGATATGGTACTCATTTGCTTTATTCTTTCATTCCTCATCTCAGGCAAAGGCGATTATGTTGCTAGCTGGGAATGGTTCTTCTATGCCCCAAGCCTTTTCACCGCCTCAAACTCATCAACATGCTGTCCATCATACACGTGCCTCTGTTGATTCTTCAGCTATGCCTCCTGGCTTCATGCCTACAATGTCTTATCTTAGTCCTGAAGCTGGAAGTAGCACAAATGGACTTGGAGCAGCTAAATTAACAAGAGGCTTGACATCAACATGCCATGACAACCAAGCTAATGCATCCAATATCAATGGCTCAGTAGCAGTTTCAGGTTCTACCAATGTAATGGCCGCTCCAACAGGTAAAAACAAAGTCATATACTTGATACTAAAACCGCCATAGCTTACTAGTAATTCCATGGCTGTAACTTCAATCCCTTTCTTGTGTAGTGGCCTTACCCTTGGCTCGCAAAGCATCTCTGGCTAGGTTTTTAGAGAAACGAAAAGAAAGGTATGCAACAACTATTCAGATAATACACCATTCAATAGTTTTCTTGAGCTAACTATCTTCTCATCGAGTGTTTTGCAGGGTCACGAGCATATCGCCATATTGCTTAGACAAGAAGTCATCGACAAATTGTCAAAGATCAATGTCTGAATGCATTAGCTCTTCTCTCAGCTCTGCTACCTAATAATTTCATCTAAAGTAAGAACTAAGAAGGCTGCTTTAGACCACTCTGCGCTCATATTTGCATTTCAATGGTGGCATTTCAGTTTCTCAGTTAATTTTTCTTCTCTCTGGCTACAGTGAGTTTTTTCTTATTAGATTATATGATAGTATATACTTTGTTTACCAGTTTTTTGGTCAAATGGAACTTATGAGAGCATGCACATCAGACATGTACTTCGGATGATTAGTAGATCGTATGGTAAAATTATGATTGACGTTAATGAATCTTTTATTTATACTACAAATCTCTCTCTACCTCTTGAAATACAAATCGAGAAATCCATCATATACTGTATGTAATTTCCAAAACAAATCATCGAATCGATCTGTTGTAGTTTTCTGGAACAATTATGCGTTAGGAGTACTTTACTAGCTAAGTACTAGTAGAGTCTCAATTGATGTTTTGTTTTTTTGGAAACCCTGTTTTTATGGCTTGCTCGGGGAACTGAAAATTGTCAGTTTCTCTGTATGAGCAGAGATAGACAAAACCCTGTTTTTGGAAAGTTGTGTATCATCGGATGGATTATATGGGACATGTATCAGAGGATAAAAGATGCAAGTAGTGAAACCATGTTTCTTAATCTGCTAAACAAAGTATGGTAAACTATTGAAGTATTTCCAACAAAGTGCTACACGAAAGATTTGGATAGTGCTGACAAAAAAAAAGGAAAAAAAAAGGTGTATGTTGAGTTCGGATGTATATAGTATCACTATTCGACATCTCTCACTAATTCGATGACAAAAAAAAAAAAAAGGTGTCCAAATTGGGATAAAGTACAAACTTTTCAAAATCGGGTAATTCACAAACTTTTAGGAACTTGTAGTTACACTTCGATAATGTTTACCAACTTCTAAAAAATTTGGAGTTTTCCAAAAACAAACAGGATAGAAGTATCGTTGACGACTGCATAATCAAATATGTTAGGAATTGTTTTCGAAAATTTTGGATTTATTTTTATTATTGAATTTGGACCAAAAAGGCGGATTTTGGACAATAGCCTTAAATATACGAGAGATAGTGTAGACTTTGTGTTACCAGATTTTGGTCTAATGGAACTTATGAGCGCAAAACAGATATGTACTTCGTAAAATTAGTAGAAACTGTTTGTTCTTTTATCCTATCACTCAAGCTCGCATTTGTATATTATATACAAAGGAACTGGTTCGCTTAGCTTATGTTTCTCATTATTTCTCTAACTATAAACGTGAATATCTGATACTCTGATACTCTGATACATTGGCAAATATGTATTAGTTAGCTAAGCATAAGTTATGCAGCATAACATTCAACAAAAGACATTAAATTAAAAGGGTACTTGTTTATTACTTGTTTGAAGATATGGCCTAATGATTTCGTACACCATGTCTTCTCTGACCACCATTTTTCTGCTGATTACACACGTAAACACCTCTAAGTAGTAAGTCCTTTAATCTCTTTTGTTGTTCTGAATATCCAGTAAATACTTCAATCTTAATCTGTTATTATAACTTCCCTTCTCTTGGATGAAGAACATAGACACTTAAACCTTCTTATTAATCCTCCCAGATAAGGCATTATAGATGTCTATAAAATCCTCACGAATATGAAAGTCAATCACTAATGAAGGTGACTAGCATATCATGTAGAGGTTCTACATACCCAAAAACTTTAACCAAGTACACTTTCACTTAAGAAAATTTCTACCTTGTTGATTATTGTTCTGTCTCTTGTGGTGTAAGTTCATGTTTTATGTCTTACTATACCTTTCACTTTTGCAAAAAAAATCAACCTGTGACTCGTCACGTTAATCACAAGTCCATTACTAACCATTTACTTTGACAACGTTATTAAAAATCCATCAAAATAATGTTTTTTGTTAACATTTACGGAGAATATTTTTTTAATTTTCAAACACGTGAGACCTATATTATTCCTACATATTTCTCAAATAAAAAGAAACAATAATTCAAAAATGTTTCTCTTCAAAATTGTAGAGGAACATGAAGAACAATTTTTTTTTTTACATTAAATATTTTAATGACAATATTGACATTTCAATTTTACCTTTACCATCTAAGTAAATTATTAATGTTTAAATGGTGTGACAATAACTTTTAATTTTATTTGATTTAATATCATTATTTTATCAAATAAAATTAAAATTATTGCCACATGATTTAAACATTAATAATTGATTAAGATGTAAGGTTAAAAGTGGAATTTTATTTTTGGTTTGAGATCGTATGTATGAATTTTCCAAATCTAAATAAGCGAAGATTTTTTATAGCAAAACTAAAAAATTAAATAAACAAGGTTTTTTATTCCAATTTAAAGAGTACTTGTATTAAACGTCCAAAAAATAATAGATGACGAATTTTTAAGTTTTTTCCAAATTAAAAACAAATAAGACTATATAAATATATTGGATAAATATTTGATTTATTAGAGAGATATTTTATGATATTTTTTAATGTAATAAATATTTGTTTTTATTGTTGCGATTTATTTGTGATTTAATTACAAAATCAATTTTATAGTTTTTTTATTTACTAAATTAGCGAGAGTTTAATTATGAAAATATTACGAAATAAAATGTTATAACCTAAACTAGAATTTAGTACAAAATGTACTTAAAAAATGCGTATATTTATAGATATCGAAAATGCGGGGCTATTCCGTAATAACTTATGTTATATTATATTGAAAATGCGGGGCTAGTTTGTAATAAACTCATGTTATCTTAGATGGGTTTCAAATTGTAATGTTATGGGCTTGTTAATTTTAAAGCCAGTCCAATACTGGTCCACGTAAGTAATCACCCCCTTCCGTCTTTCACGTTTTCTGAGTTTCGACGATTCGCTCACTATCTTCTTCCGTTCCGTCACCGTTTGATCGCTTCCTCTTGTGATCAACCACTCAACAGAGTTCTGGGCTTACTTTGTATTCTGGATTCTGTGATTAGGGTTTCCGAAAACTGATTCAGAGGATATAGCAGGATTTATTTCCGCCGAAATAAACCTTCTATAACCCCCAAATCAAGTTCTCTTCAATGGATTCATATAATCTTCAAGACGATTCGCTTCTGTATCCAGGTTCTTTAGATTCGTTGTCTTCTTCAATCTATGTTTCTTCTGGTTATTCCAGTTCTTACGTTTTCATTATAGTTCCACTATTTCTAATCTTCCCTGGAATTGGTGTTTAAAGAAACAAGAAAATGTGAAAAGTTGATTTGCATGACATAACTGATGTATAGGCTGTTCGACTTCCTAGAAAATTGGGGGAAACTCGATCGTTTTCCTCTCTAGGTTTGAATTCCTACGATGTTTCTTGTTTTGTGCTTGCGATTTAACAGTTACCAGTAGAGAGTTTTGCTAAACCAAGTTTCAGGGATTTCCATACTCTCTTATGTTTTGGTAATGGAGTCAAAAAACATGTTTCTTTGGAATCATTAATATAGTTGATGTGTTTTAGAAAGGCCTCAATAATACATTTCGATTGTGATATCTTCATGTTTGTATGTGCAGCTAAAAGGTTGTTTGTTTTGTGTTTTAACTTCTTATAAAAGATGTTGAGGAGGTTCTTGAACGCTCCATAGGGGAATGGCTTGGTAAACAAGATGTCCAAAACATCTTCACCTTGCACGAAAACCCTACTATCTCTCTCAACCCACTGAACGAGATGATAGCAGGCTTATACATGTGTTACAACTGGGATAATTTTGACACCCATGTGTGGGAACCTTTTCCTGATGGACGCATAGTACATACTAAAGAGACTGAGGAAGAGGAACCTATGCGTTATACCATTGTACATATGGTTTTAAATCCAATTGCTGAGGGACTTAGAAGTACCTATGAGAGAAGAGTGTACACACCTCAATATGAGTAAGTATAATAACATATTTTTTTTCTTTTTGTCTTAATGAACATTCTAACTGTTATTGTTTACTGGTATTAGATTTACAGAGTTTAGGTTGGCCCATTACCGATTTCGGACCATTGCAGATGACGGGAATCCAGAAGTTGAGAGCGGGGTCGACACAGAAGATTCAGAAGACCCGAACGATGACTCCAGTGATGAAAGTGGAGATGATGATGGTGGGAACGTCGGAGGAAACTTAGAGGAAGAAGATAATGGGGAGGATGATGGTGATGCAGATGCTTATGTTGGAGAAGATGCTGATGATCCAACCGATTCTGACAACGAGGATGCTCCTCCTTCGCCTCTCTGTAATGGTCATCTAGTTTTGAAAGTAATGAATGGAAATATTCCAGTTGCAGAAGCTGAAAAGCATACTTCTCAGATTCCCGGAAGGTAATTGATATGTCTCTCACCCAAGTTTTTTCTCTTTCTTTCTATGAATTTCATGGAGCTGTGAGTTTTAAGTCGCTGTTCGTTCCTTTCTTCTCCTGCAGTTTAGGAGCTCAAGTTCCAAAGACTGAGAGAATTGTAAGTTGTTTTATAATGCAACTGTTATGTTTGGGTTTAGATTTCTTCACTGATTCATCATGTTTTGGGAGCATTGATAGGAATATTAGGTTTCACTTGTTTATCTTGAAATTGTTTTCTTAGACTTAATAATTTTTCAGATGTATTCCATTGCTCATCGCGTAGTTATATTATTTACCATGAAACCTGAATCCCAGCCTATAACTCAGACTGTTTGGCAGGTGGAGCTCATAATTACACCTGATTTCCAGTGGGACAAGAAAATTCATAAATATGTTGAGCGGTTGTGGATAAATGCTGAAGACAAGGATGGTGAGAAGCCTTCATCACGAGTATTTTCTTTTGAACAGTATATTGATGAGGATCTCACTTTGAAAATCTTTGTGCCAATCTTTTAACTGCTGCCACGTCTGTATTCTGTCCCAGTGGTTTCCGACAGGTGGCTTGGCTCGCAGATTACACTACATGTACCTTTCAGGCATCTTATTCTTTCAAAAAATTATATGCCTCAGACGGAGCTACTAGACTTGCAGCCCTTCTCGGTGAAAACACTAAGGAATCCAAATTACGACCTTCAGGATTTTAAGCATTTCAATCCAGTGCGGACTCAGGTCTTTACTGGAATGTATAACACGAATGAGAATGTGTTGGTTGTTGCACAAACGAGAATTAGGAAGACTATGTTTGCGGAGTTTGCTATTTTGAGGGATTATCAAGAAGGACCTGATGCTATGATGAGAGCTGTCTATATTGCACCGCTTGACGCTATTGCCAAGGAGCAGTTTCATAACTGGGAGAGGAAGTTCATGAAGGGTCTTTGTTTACGGGTTGTTGAGGTAACTGGAAAGACAGCATTGGATCTTAAGCTGTTTGAGAAAGGTCAGATAATCGTAAGTACTCCTGAGAAGTGGGATACTCATTTCGGCAGGTGGAAACAGAGAAACTACGCTCAGCTGGTTAGTCTTTTCATCGATGACAAACTCCATCTAATTGGAGGCCAAGGTAGTCCAGTGTTGAAGGTTACCATCTCCAGAATGAGATATATTTCAAATCAAGACGATAACAAGAGTAGGATTGTTGCTTTATCAACTTTCCTTGCAAATGCGAAAGATCTTGGGAAGTGGATTGGGGCCACTCAGGATCAGGAGATTGTGACGCAGCTCTTTGAAGCTGGAAGGATTCAGGTTTGTGTGACGAGTAGTTCATTGTGTTGGGACACTCCATTAACTGTGCATTTGGTGGTCGTAATGTGGACACAGTACTATGATGAAAGAGAAAATTCATATTCAGATGCTCCTGTCTGTGATCTGCTTCAGATGATGGGCCGTGCTAACAGATCTCTTAGTGAAAATGCTGTCAAGTGTATGTTTTTTTGTCACACACAGCGTAAAAAGTATTACCAGAAGTTTCTGTACGAAGCCTTCCCTATCGGAAGTTATCTCCAGCATTTCTTGCATGAAAAGTTCAACGCAGAAGTAGCTGCTGGGGTTATAGACAACAAGCAAAATACTGTGGCTTATCTTACATGGAATTTCATGTACAAGAGGCTTCCCCAGAACCCTAACCACTACAGGCTGCAAGGTGTTAGCCACAGGCATTTGTCTGATCACCTAAAAGCACCTGCGGTGTTGACGATCTTTTATGCCGGTTCAGTTTGTGTTTACGATGAAACATCTCCTGAAAAGGTAACTCAATCATCTTCTTCCATATATACATCTCTTGTATTCGTTCTTCTTCCATATATACGTCTCTTGTATTTGTTAGATATGGTACTGATTTGCTTTATATTTTTCATTCCTCCATTCCAGTCTAAGGCGATTATGTTGCTAGCTGGGAATGGTTCGTCAATGCACCAAGCCTTTTTATTCCCTCAAACTCATCAACATGCTGTCCATCATACACGTGCCTCTGTTGATTCTTTAGCTATACCTCCTAGCTTCCTGCCTGCAATGTCTTATCTTAGTCCTGAAGCTGGAAGTAGCACAAATGGACTTGGAGAAACGAAAAGAAAGGTACACAACACCTCTTTAGATAAAATACACCATTCAGTACTTATCTTGAGTTAACTCTCTTCCTCATCGTGTGTTATGCAAGGTCATGAGCGTATCTCCATATTGCTTAGAAAAGAAGTCATTGACAGATTGTCGCAGATCAATGTCTGAATGCATTTGCTCTTCTAGCTCTGCAACCTAATACTTTCATCTGCAGTTAGATGAAGAAGGCTGGTGTTTTCAGGGGAAAAAAAAAAGGTTAGATGAAGGCTGCTTTAGAAAGTTTTTTTCCCTCTGGCTACACGGAGTTTCTTTTTCTTTACCAGGGATAGTGTATTCTTTGTTTACCAGATTTTTGTCCTAATGGCACTTATGAGCAAAACAGATTGTACTTTCGAAAATTAGTGGAAACTGTTTGTTTGTTTCTTTACTCTTTTCTTGTATATACTTATCACTCAAGCTCGCATTTGTATAACATACAATGGAACTGGTTCGCTTCTGTTTCCCATTATTTCTCTAATCAGTTAATTTCTCTAACTATAAACGTGAATATCTGATACTCTGATACATTGGCAAATATGTATTAGCTAGCTAAGCATAAGTTATGCAGCATAACATTCAGCAAAAGACATTAAATTAAAAGGGTACAATATACAAATAAGCAGATAAACCGGATTTAAATTCAGTCGCGGTTGAGTTAATGTGAATACAAAACCGGTTCAACCGGTACACAACCACAAAGAATATGTTCGGTTTCGGTGACAAAGGTTTGCCGAACGAAAAAAATCAAGTCAGCTGATACGCGAAGACACATCGAACCACCGTACGATCATCACAAGGAGCTGAAGGATTCAAGTCTCGTCAAGCTATTTGCTGGGAGAGTATGATGGATGCGAATCAGGTAGCAGAGCTGAGAAGATTCGTCCAACAGTTGAAATCGAATCCTTCGATTCTCCACGACCCTTCTCTGATTTTCTTCAAGGAGTATCTTCGAAGGTGATTGAATCTTCTCCTACTTCTCTTTCTTTCCATAGGTCCCAATCGTCTGCTGTAGTAATTTTCCATGTAACTGTGAGAGTTTCTTCTAATCGATGTTCGTTACCGTCTTTTCGTACAGTTTAGGAGCTCAGGTTCCCAAGATTGAGAATACTGTAAGTTGTCTTTCTTATTGCAACTCTCATGTTTTGTGTTTGGAGCATTGGTAGAAATTACCAGGTTACTCTTGTTTGTGCTACTTGGGTGTGGAATTAATTTTACCAAAAACCTTTTCTAGGCTGAAGTATCTATACAGTGGTTCTTTTTATCAAACTAAATGATGACACCACCATGCAGGAAAGAGATGATGAAGTTAAGGCTGAGACAAAACCCAGTTTCTCTCCTAAACATGATGATGGTGATGAATTTATGGAGTCTGATGTTGAACTGGACAACTCTGATGTAGTTGAACCAGACAATGAGCCTCCTCAGCCGGTAGGTTTTGAATATATTTGTTTTGGATATTATCTGGTGCTTGTGTCTGTATGCAACGTTGTTTGATTTTACTTTCTTTCCTTAGATGGGAGATCCTACAGCTGAAGTGACCGATGAGAAAAGGGATGATGCTCAGTTAGAGAAGAGTAAAGCTATGGAGGCTATCTCAGATGGTACATGCCCACCATTGAAATTGCTTTTTGATTTATTTAGTTCATAGGATTTCTTCATGGTTTCGTTAATGCTTGATTGGTATATAGGCAAGTTTGAAGAAGCTATAGAACATCTAACAAAAGCCGTCATGCTAAACCCTACTTCAGCAATTCTCTACGCCACTAGAGGTAACAATCTTTTACTAGTTCTCTCTCTCTCTTTCGCTTTTCTGCTGAATGTGGGTGATCATTCTGAATATTTTTAATTGTGATCCTGCAGCTAGTGTGTTTCTAAAAGCTAAGAAGCCAAATGCTGCAATTCGCGATGCCAACAGGGCTTTACAGGTGATCATTTCTCTTGACATAAAACCTGTTTTGTTTCTGCAGAAAATGGATTGGTAAAGCAAGTTTATGTCTCGATAGTTGCATAGCTTGTGAAAGTAATTTTATATCCCAATGGTTTTTTTTCCATAAACAAGCTAACCTAGTTTATTCTGGGGTTTAGTTCAACCCTGATTCAGCTAAGGGGTACAAGTCACGAGGTATTGCTAGGGCCATGTTAGGCCAATGGGAAGAGGCTGCAGCTGATCTACATCTAGCATCAAATTTAGATTACGATGAGGAGATAGGGATGGTGCTTAAGAAGGTAATTGCGGGAACCTCTTGATATGACTTTACCAACAGTATGCTCCTTGATTTTTTACAATACCGAATCTAAGCTGGTTATGTGTACTTCACAGGTTGAACCTAATGCAAAGAGAATCGAAGAACACCGAAGGAAATATCAACGTCTGAGGAAAGAAACGGAGCTCCAAAGGGCTGAGCGCGAGAGACGACAACAGCAAGAAGCTCAGGTCAGACCAAACTTTACCCATGAATGTTAATGTTGTTGCATACCATCTTTTTATGTAATTTAAATTCTTAACATAAAGCACATAGGCCTGGTTATTTTTTTTCCCTGTGAGAGTAACAATATAACCTCTCTTGGAATTATCAAACATCTCACGCTCATTGATTTACTTCTCCTTCCTCTTGAATCCTATAAATGCAGGAGCGAGAAGCTCAGGCTGCACTAAAAGATGGTAAACAATTTTTTATATTTCTATTAAAGGTTCTCTAGTCTCTACTTCATGATATTGCTGCGAAGAACTACGTATGTGTCGGAACAATTATCTGTGAGTCTTGTCCAAATGAATTGTCTGCACTCAATAAGATTCAAAACTCAATGAGCTCTTATTAGCCACTAATCTAGTTGATAAGGCCGCTAACCAGCTTGCTTATCCCGCCTTACAGCTTTACGCGCATCACTTACCTGAGAAATTTTGCAAATCCTGATCAGAACCATAACCTCCCAACTAAAACTACTTTAGGGGATAGTTTAGTGGAAACTCATGGTGTATTGACGCATCCGTAGCGTTCTATTTCTATTTCCTCAGGATTTTATATGCTGATCACAAGTATGCGACTCTACAGTGAGAAAAGCATCTTGCATGTATTTTAGACCCCAATTATTCTCACAAAGCTTCATTTTACAGCTTTTATAAAACTTAAAATGAAATTTGCATGTCAAAAAGGAAATGACCATCTTTTCTCCCTGATGATACAGGACATGTGATCAGCATCCACTCAACAAGCGAACTAGAAGCAAAGACAAAGGCCGCAAAGAAGGCATCACGTCTGCTCATCCTTTACTTCACAGCCACATGGTGTGGACCGTGCCGCTATATGTCTCCACTGTACTCAAACCTGGCCACACAGCACCCGAGAGTCGTTTTCTTGAAAGTTGACATAGACGAGGCCAACGACGTGGCTGCCTCTTGGAACATTAGCAGCGTCCCGACCTTTTGCTTCATCAGGGATGGCAAAGAGGTGGACAAAGTTGTGGGAGCTGATAAGGGTTCGCTCGAGCAGAAGATTACACAGCACTCTTCTTCTAAGTAATGGTTTCTCTCTTCTCTCATTACCCTTCTCTGGCTCGTACTATATCTTTGCAACACAATTAGTGTCCCATTTAAAATTTTCTTAGAAGTTTTAAAGGATTTGTAATTGTTTACATGACCGATCAGATCAGTCAAATAAATACAAGAGTTAAAATAGCAGAGATAAGACCCCACTGTTTTCAACTTGACTTAGCAATGCTAAAGAAGGAAAATATATAGACTTGATCACTTCGATCACTTGGGTATTTTGAATTTTTGATACGATATCCATTAAATATAACAGGGTGAACATAGTAAATAAAGCAGAGGCCATGTCGAGAAACCAACAATTGTCGAGATACAAAGCACAAACTAAACTAAAAGGAAATAAACGAGAAATACAAGTTGACAGATTAGGGTGGTGCAGCTTGCTCGATTTGCACTGAGCTTGGAACATAAGAACACACAAGTGGCCAACAACCTTCGTCAATAGACTCGCCAAGATCCACTTGTTTGAAGTATCCTTTCTTTCCAATGACGTAAGCTATGTTGCGTGTGAGGCGGCGAGATTTACCTCGACATCTACCTCTGTCTTTATCATGAACCACGGCGACCTTCTTCTTTTCGTCGACAAAGAAACTCCCACCTTTAAACAGAAAGTGAAATCCGGTGAGTTCTTTCATATCAACCGATAGGAACAACTTGTTCCACGACACAGCATGGGGCTCAATCTTGCTACTAATCCATATCTTCACGGTAAATGCAGGTGCACCATATTGTTGAAATAGAACCGCAAGATGCTCTTCTCTAACACTAGATACAGTCACAGCATCTCCATAAAAAGCATGAAAAGGCAGAGGAAGACGCGGTCCAAATCTCTCCATTGTAAAATCAAAACATAGTAAGAAATCAGGGATATCTGATATATCTCCTCCCACTTCTCCTTGTGCTGAAGTTGGAATCTTCTCTTGAGCAAACCAGTAAGTGTTGCCCATAAGAGACACACCACGCTGATGATACTCTATATCCCAGTCCGGATTGACATCAACAACCTTCCAAGAATCAGAGTTTAAATCGTAAATTTCAAATTCACGAAGCTTCACTTTTATAGTGTAGTCGTAATCATCTAGAAATCTCAAGACTTACCAAGCGAGTACTTGTCATTCTTCTCGTATCCTAGAGCGTACCGGTCAAACAATTTGTGGTAAGAATTCATGGGTTTGATCCACCTGGTTTGCCCCGAACAAGGGTTCCAAACAACAAGACTAGATCTATCTTTGGTGACGCATAACAGTAAACCGTCGCAGTGAAAGATTTTAGATATCTCTACACGATCAGCATCCTCTAGGCCAATAAGGTTACCTATACGCTCTATAGATGGCGTGTAGAGATTGACGCTAAATAAACAAACCCTATACTGAATCATCATGACCACCTGAAACTGCTCTCTGTGATAATTCTTTGCTGCTGCTTTTGCTTTACCGACGTGCTTCATTGTAAAGCTCCGGTTTTGCATGTAGATCGCACTCCTCTCAGTGATGTCACCGGAAGCCTAGAGAGCACCTCCTCCGCCAAATCCCTTGGAAGATTGGATATCATCGTGGTCCTTGTGTTTCAAGAAACCCTTTAGGTCTTGTTCTGATTTCTTCCGGATATATGAGAAGGGTTTTTTTTCCTCATGATCACATAATAGGCACTTCATGATCTCATCCTATTCCACCGGAGTGAAACAGTTTGCGAAGATAAAGGAGAACGAGTAAACACTAGCTAGCAGTTACCTATTTTAAGATCAGAAAAGAGTATTTGTGGTGGTGTCATTGATCTTAGATTTATATATTTATTGTGATAAAGTCTCAAAGTAAGAACATAATCCAGTAGCCTTTTTGGTCAAGACTCGAGAACCACAATGAAAGGCAAATTTTTCGTTAACGACCAGAAGATTAACACATTTGCTTATGCATTATGCAGTAGCTTTTACTTAATTTTAGTAGTATAATAGTATCAAATTTCGTGTTTTCAAAAGAAGATTTTAAATAACATAGAAATAGCCCCATTGTTTTCAATTTCAACTAATTAGCAATGCTAAAATATAATGTAGACTTTGATCACTTGGGTATTTGGATACGATATCCGTTAACTAAAACTGAAAGATGAACAGAGTAAAGAAAACAGAGGCCATATTGAGAAACCAACCATTGTCGAGATACAAAACACGAGAAATACAAGTTGATAGATTAGGGTGGTGCAGCTTGCTTGATTTGCACTGAGCTTGGCACATACGAGCACACAAGTGGCCAACAACGTGCCTCTGTAGACTCGCCAAGATCCACTTTTTTGAAGTATCCTTTCTTTCCAATGATATAAGCTATGTTGCGAGTGGGAAAAGATTTGCCTCTGTCTTTATCAAGAATCACTGCGACCTTCTTCTTTTCGTCGACGAAGAAACTCCCACCTGTAACCAGAAACTGAGAACCCAAACCGGTGTGTGGTTTCATATCAAACTTTAAGAACAACTTGTTCCAAGAGACCGCATCGGGCTCAATCTTGCTACTAATCCATATTTTCACGGTAGATGCAGGTGCACCACATTGTTGAAAAAGAACCGCAAGATGCTCTTCTCTGACACTAGATAGAGTCACAGTATCTCCATAAATAGCGTGAAAAGGCAGACGCAGACGAGGTCCAAATTTCTCAGTTGTAAAATTAAAACATAGTAAGAAATCAGGGATGGCCGATATAGGTCCTCGCATTCCTACAGGTGGACGCTTCTCTTGAGCAAACCAGTAAGTGTTGCCCATGAGAGACACACCACGCTGATGATACTCTATATCCCAGTCCGGATTGACATCAACAGCCTTCCATGAAGCAGAATTTAAATCGTAAATTTCAAACTCACGAAGCTTCACATTAGCCCTGGAGTCGTAATTATCTAGAAATCGCAAGACTTTGTAGCTACGAAGCGAGTACTTGTCCTTCTTCTCGTATCCCAGAGCGTACCGGTCATAAAACTTGTGGTAAGAATTCATGGGTTTGATCCACCTGGTTTGCGCCGTATAAGGGTTCCAAACAACAAGACTAGATCTATCTTTGGTGATGCATAACAGTAAACCGTCACAGTGAAAGATCTTAGATATCTCTACACGATCTGCATCGTCTAGGCTAACAAGTTGACCTATACGGTCTATAGATGGGTTGAGGAGATTGACACTGAATAAACAAACCCTATATTGGATCATCATGACCACCTGAAACTCCTTCCTGTGATAATTCTTTGCTGCTGCTTTTGCTTTACCGACGTGCTTCATTGTAAAGCTCCGATTTATGGATAAACGCCTCCACTTTTTGCATGTAAATCGCACTCCCCTCAGAGATGTCACCGGAAGCCTAAAGAGCACCTCCTCTGCCAAATCCCTTGGAAGATTGGATAACATCGTTGCCCAAACCCTTATCCTTTTCCTCCGATTTCTTCCGGATCTGTCTCTTCTTTTTGTTGGCAAAGCTTCCAGATCTATCTTTTATTTTTGACTATTCAGATATATCTTCCCCTTCCGAGTTCCGACCAAAGTACAGTAGTAAAGTACATTGGTGAGTTGAATTTTATTATATGGGCTTTAAGGTCATGGCCCGAGGACGGTTAATGTCTCGGCTTAAAAATTGTTTTTATTTTCGTAGTTAGAGCATCTCCAACCCTAGAGAATTAAGCTTTTATGGAGTAGCTTTTAACATTTTAACTAGGTTCGGACCCGCGCACAAAGGAAATAATTATATATATATAATTTTTAACGGATTAGAATATGTTACATTTTAATTTTGTTATAGTGCAGTCGATTATGGTAAATCATATATTTATATAATAAGTTTAAATAAAATAATAAAGGAAAAAACAAGTAAATAATCATATACTGAGTTTTGATACAATTAAAAACACGGTGAAAATTTAACAGCATAAAATAATATTTGTCGATAAATTATTCATTTTGACCATTTTTGTAGTAAAAGTAGGAATATACGTAAAAATTATATATTTACAATATATTTTTTGAAAGTCCAACCCGTAACAGAATTCATTTCGTTAAAAGCATTATTAATAACTCGCTTTATCATTATAATTGTGATTTTAACAAACTACCCGTGAATTATCTAAAATTTACATATTTTGATATATAATATATTTTATCAATAAAAATTATGTCTCCAAAATTACATATATGTCTTCAAAAAAATATTTCAATATTTTAAATTCTAAAAGTTTTATATATTTGAACCTTTTATTTATAATATTTTGAAACTATTTGAAATTTTAAATATGCTCATGGGGAAAAATGGGAAAATCAACCCAAACTATTTCTCGAAGGTATTTTCATACCCAAACTCGCGTACTCTGAATTTTACAACCCAAACCAGCTTTCAATTCAAATAACCAACATGAACTATATCAAATTTTGTCGATTTCAACCTCGACGTTAACATTATCTCTGCCCATCTTAAAGATTTGGACAAATAAGCTTAAGCTTAAGCTTAATTTCTCTTGGTTTTTACAGAAGCTTAAGCTTAATTGTCCAAATCTTCAAGATGGGCAGGGATATTGTTAACGTCGAGGTTGAAATCGATAAAATTTGAAGTGGTTCAGGTGGGTTATTTGAATTGAAAACTGGTTTGAGTGGTAAAATTCAGAGTACGTGAGTTTGGGTATGAGAATACCTTCGGGAAATAGTTTTAACTTTTAAGGAAACAATAAGGCCTTAAATTATCCCATTACGGATCCAGTGTATAAGGGTTGTATCCTCTAATTATTAAACTTTTGAATTTACCAATTAAGATCAAGTATCCTAAAAATTTCACACACGGAGAGAATATGAGGCGGTTACCACCGTGGATGCTCGGTGGCGCGTCCACCGGTGAAGCAGCAGCTGCACGCAACGTAACAGAATCAGAAGCTCCTAAACCAAAGGCGGAGAAGAGACCGAGAAGAAACGTGAAACCCAAAGAAAAAGATTTAAATCTCAATTCTGAGGAACCTAAACGAGTCCGTAGGAAGATTGGAGATGAAGCTAATCGTGGTAACAATAATGGTCCAGAGATAATTCAATCAGTGATGACTGGTCCAGGAAACGAAGATCTCACAGTTGATGACTTATTAAGCTTTGCTCACGAGGTAATTTAGTTAGTTCCACAGTTTTTTTTAACGAATTAATGATTAGTGAATTTACTTAATTCACTATTCATCTTCGTTTCCCATTTACACCATTAATGGCAGTATGTCCAAAGTAATCAAGAAGTCCAGACAAGCAAGGAGGATGAAAGGTCTGAATCCATGTTAGTTGCGAATGAATCAACATCATCTCAAGGAGGAACCAGAGATTCAACAGCAGAGGACATGTTAGATCTGCTAATGGGTCCTTATTTCAAGAAACGCTAGGATATAAAAATCTGAATTGGGTTTTTTTCAAGTGCTTCCAACTTAGTTTTTGAGCTTTGTACCAGTATATTATTATATATGATAAAGCTTCGTTTTTTTTTATATTCCTATGATATATGAAAGAAGACGCAAAAATACAATAGCGAAAGAGGAAGAAGCAATGTAGGAGCTACTGAGTTCATAAGCCCAAGGGGAAGGGCAAACGAAAGCATTAGTGCTCCTGAAAACATAAAAGATTTCTCAGTTTTGGCAACTAAAAGGACCGAAAGCACCACTTTTTCAAGCGCATCAGTGACGTGCTGCCTTAATCAACACAAGAAACACGAATCAAACACCTAAAATTCATTGAATCATATACACTGACTAAACTTTCAGATTCCTAAGTTAAGTTTAAGTGGAGCTGGGTTTAGTTTATATACTGACGGCCACATGTAGAAAACCCTAGTTGTTCGTTTCGTGATCACTAATGGGCTTGTTTGTTTTCTCCTTTATTGGGCTTACAAGAATAACTCCCTTTCGGCTGTTCCCTTTTTCTATACTTGAATTATGTGGTAGTTTAGTTAGGCACTGTGGTTAACTTAATAAATTCACTATATGTACATATCTTTGTAGTAGTCGCGTTCGCGTATACACCCTACACAGTATCGATGACAAAAAAATACACACTACACAGTATACACTAAAGGATTCTCTACTTGTTTACCAGTTGCTAATGAATGTGAAGCACTTATGATTTGATTCAGAGTACAAGAGTGTTAAAAAGGTACTTTGTGGTAAAAAATTTTTTAAGAAAACAAAGGCATATACCAATCTTTCAGAGACAAGCGTAGAATTCACTTGTGGTGGCATAAAGCTATTTTGTTCCAAGCTTCCAATTGAATATCTTTTATTTTCTCGCTTTCAAACCTAAAATTAATGGAAAACTTTTTGGAGTGCTTCACATACAAATATACAATGTAGCATAAAAAGGTTATTTTTTTTCTTTCTTTTTTTTGGTCACCAAGGTTTATTTTTCGAACTCTAATGTTTTGTCTAAAGAAAGGAAATGCAATAAAACATGATTAATATATTTTTTTTGTTGCTCTAAATTAGAACTTTTAACATGGATTATGACATGGTCACATATCTCAAATTTTCAAATCTAGTGCCACACTAAACTTTTAAAAGAAAAACAACCATCTAAATCACTATTTTCTTAACGTTATCTTCTACCTAAAAAATGCAAGTCAATCACTTAAAATAAAAAAAAAAGGATATGCAAAATAACATGTTAGTATCCTTAAATTTGTAACATTTGATAAATAATATATTGAGATTTTACATCATAGAGTCTAATTATAAATAAAAAAGAGTCAAAAATATAATTATAATTTTTTAATCGTAATTTTATAGCAAAATTTGTAAATATTAAATCATATAAAGAATATTTTCTATTTTATAAAATTGATTTAGGTTCTGTTTTTTTGTTTTTTTTTTTTTTTGATTTGAGTTAACATGAGATAAAGAATGAAATTACAAAAATTAGCAATATGTTTTCTTTGGGTGACAGAAGACCCAAAATGTTTTGAGGAATAACAAGCTTGTGAACGACTGCATCGCCGGACCTCTCCCGCACCTATTTGCTCTTCTTCTATCCCACCACATTCGAAGCTTTTTATCTCTTTTACCGCGCTTCCTACACATTTTGGCAGAGACCAACTCCTACCTAACCTCTTAGCAACCCATTTGCAGATCCCATCAGGTAACCACCGCTCCAAGAATAATCACCTAAGTAGCTCGTTTCGTCTTCTTTACTTCTTTACTGCGTGTCCCGTTGCTAAATCTGCTCAATTCTGACTCATTCGAGTGTGATCTGGATCGCCTGCGTTATCGATTTCGTTTTCCCCCCTTGTCTGAGTTTGGATCCAGTCTTAAGTGATTTAGATGCGATAAAGTTGGGATTGTTGGTAAATCTGTAAACTTTATTATTGGAGAGAGAGAGAGAGATTGGATTAATGGGATTGTGATAAAACTCAATTCTGTTTTTTAAAAAAATTGACTAAATTTTGATTTTTCTGTGATGCAGTTTTTTTTTTTTTTTTGGGTTTTGAGGAATGAATTTCTTGCTTCGATCTGCTTCTTCTGCTACTCATCGGCCGCCGGTGAGCGAGCCACCAGCTACGCCGCCACAACCTCAGCCTGAAACAACCAAGTCGGGAGCAACTTTGGAAGGTCTAATAGCAGAAGAGCCTTTCCCGCAATATCCATCAGTTGAAGATCTTGATCGTGTTGCTGATGGATCTAGAGACGATGATGGTAGTGGAGAGTCAAATGCAAAGTCTGGTGCCTCTTGTATAGAGAGATTCTCAGATGTTTCTGAGGAAGAAGGATGGATCGCTATTCCTTATAGTATAAACTTACTCTCTTTACTTCAATATCTTGAGTTTTCAATTTCTAATTATCCTGATTTTGTGATGTCTTATTACAGAGGAAATCCCGGACAACTGGTCTGAGTCTGTTGATATTCATTCATTACGTTCCCTGGATCGTTCCTTTGTTTTCCCTGGTATGCTGTTTCTCACATCATCTCGTCATTTGCATTTAAACTAAGACTAGCTACTGAACAATCAAAAACATTTTTCTACTTTAGGGGAGCAGATTCAAATCCTTGCATGCTTATCTGAGAGTAAAGGAGACACAGAGATCATTACCCCTTTTAAGGTTGCTGAGGTAATGAGCAGAACTGGACAGAGAAAGGCCTCTGAAAAACAAAATGGAGACATGTCTGATGAGGCAAGTACACCATCAGGGGATGGAGAAATGAGTCCTGATGCTCAGTTTGCAACTCAGAATGGTGACAGCCCTGGTAAAGATAGTTTGGATTCACAAAAGGATTTATCTGATGGTGAATCAATCTTGAGGATGGAAGATCATAAGAGACGAACAGAAGACTTGCTTTCCAGGTTTCAGAAGTCTCATTTCTTTGTTAGGATTGCAGAGTCTGGTGAGCCACTTTGGTCAAAGAAAAGCTCTCTCGTCGCAGATACAGAGATGGATGAAAAGAGGAAAAGTAGACCTTGTGTTAGTGCTTTTGTAGATAGAGGAGACTTCGATCCTAATGTATCTGGAGGTGTAGCTAGAAGTAAGGCAAAATGCTGTGCCTTACCCAATGGAGATATAGTGGTATGTGATGGTATATTTGTTGCTTTCTGTTTTGCTAGTTGTGTGTTTGAAATGATATTATATGAACCAGTGCATTCCTCTTCTTGTGTAATGCATTGTCTGATTTATTTAAATTTACCTCACTACTCGTTCATATATCCTGAACTTCTTATAACCGAGTTAATGGACCTACTGATTCTCAGACAACACTTTTGTTTGGAAGGATGCAGGTCTCTTTACAAGTTTATATTGTCGACTGTCCCAAAGAACCCATCATAGAGATACTGCAGTTTGAGAAGCATCAGGACAAGGACCAAACTTCTGAGAATGATAAAGATCCATATGGGAATCTCTTAAAGTGGTTGATACCGTTGGATAACACTATTTCTCAACAACCCCGCTCTCTACCACCTCCTTTAAGCCCTAGCCCAAGTATCAGCAGCACTGCACACAAGCCAGCAATTTCGTCTACCTCAGGCTCCCAACTCTTCTCATTCGGCCATTTTAGAAGCTACTCCATGTCTGCTCTTCCTCCAAACACCGCACCAGTATCTGGACCCATGAAAACACAAAGCTCGAAACCATCATTTGATATTGAAGATTGGGACAGTTACTCTGGTCAAACGTTACGAAACAGTCAGAAGGCTGGAACTGAAGAGCTTTTATCTTTCCGGGGTGTCCCGTTGGAGGGGGATAGGTTCTCTGTTCGTTGTGGACTCGAAGGTATCTGCATTCCGGGTAGAAGGTGGAGGAGGAAACTCGAGATCATCCAACCTATCGAGATAAATTCTTTTGCAGCTGACTGCAATACAGATGATCTTCTCTGCGTTCAGATAAAGGTGTGTCTCTGCATTGCTGTTAAACTTTGGTTTTACTGTGGTCAGTTATTGTCTGAGTTGCGTCTTAATTTGCCCTTTTTTTACTGGCAGAATGTGGCTCCTATCCACGCTCCAGATATTGTAATATACATAGACGCCATAACAATTGTTTTTGAAGAGGCTGGAAAAAATGCTTCCCCTTCATCAGTACCAATTGCATGTATTGAAGCTGGAAATGAGCACAGTTTACCGAATTTAACACTAAGGTTAGCCTATTTTCCTAAAGTTCCTCAGAATTTTTTCCATTGTATTGAAAATTCCCCCCATCACTCTTCTTGATATAATTGATGGATTTAGATATTAGCATTTTGCTTTACGTATCCTTTTTTGGGTCGTTTGAATGGCTAGAAAGTTTCAGAAGTCTTCAATGATAGACAAAAGTAAGTTTTAGTATTAGGTAATCTCAGGTAGTGACTTAGACTAACTAGTTATCAGATCTAGCTGAGTTTCTGAGAGAAACTAGCCTCAACGAGTATAGTCAGTAGGAGCTAAAACCTGCCCCTTTCAGCTTTCAGGAACAATAAAGAGTGCATTTACCCACCCTTAGTTTTTCTTGCGATCTTTCAGGAAAGGTGAGGAGCACTCATTCATCGTGAAGCCTGCTTTTTCTGTTGGAAGTAATCTGAAGCCCTCTGCTGCAAGAAAAGAACTCAAAACATCGAGTTTATCTCTTCCAACTGTAAATTTTGAAAGAAAAGGAAGCAGTTTAAGTGGTGATCAGTATGCAGTTATGGTGTCATGTCGGTGCAACTACACAGGTAGATTCGTAGTTACATGGTTTATAGCCTTGTTTTTGGTCTTTCTTCTGTTCAGATGTATAGCTGGTTCCTTAATGTTTTTTTCTGTTTAAAATTGGATTCAGAATCAAGGCTATTTTTTAAACAACGGACAAAATGGAGACCACGAGTTTCAAGGGACCTGATGATCTCTGTTGCGTCTGAAATGTCAGGAGAACCTTGTGGTCCTCATGGGAGAGCCTCTCAACTACCCGTTCAGGTAATTCTTTCTCTGACTATCTCTAGAACTAGAAGTTAAATGCAACAATGCCCAAACTAATGGAAGGCGTTCGCAGCTGAAGTAACTTTAGTCTTTACCCAAAATTACTTGAGCTTTAAGTAGATATTGTCACTTAATCCTGGCTAGTACTTGTGCCTTTCTTAGTTAAGGCTGGCTTTGTATGTTTAAATAAGAAACTTTGCAATCGTTTCAAAGACCAACGTGGTCCTAATTTTCAAATTAAATCAACCACTGGCCATCTGTAAAGACCACCCAATTTATATCCTAAATGGCGTCTTTATTTTTGTACCTCATACTTTTTCTCTACTGGTTGCAGATTTTAACTCTTCAGGCATCGAATTTGACATCAGAAGATCTGTCTTTGACCGTTCTCGCTCCTGCATCCTTTACATCACCTCCATCTGTAGTTTCCCTAAACTCCACGCCGACGTCCCCTCTAAGTCCATTCCTAGGATTCTCTGAGTTCACAGAGCGGGTACAAAGCGAGAAACGCAATTCAACGATGCGTAAACATCAATCGTTACCCCCAATTTCACTGGAGACAAGAACAGAGAACACAAATGGTGAATCTTCCAATCCTTCAGATGTAGTTCCGAAGAGCGGCTTAGGTTGCACACATCTCTGGCTACAAAGTCGAGTTCCCTTGGGGTAAACATCTAATATCCAATGAGCTTTATTCTTGGTATGGTTTTACATCTTTTACCATCATAAATTGATAACGGGTTTTTACTTTCAAAATGCATCAGATGCGTTCCTTCAAAATCTACAGCTACGATCAAGCTAGAGCTACTCCCTTTGACTGATGGCATAATCACGCTTGATACTCTCCAGATCCACGCCAAGGAGAAAGGTAAGCAAATGACTAGAAAGACTTGTGCTGCTTCGAGTCTTCAATATGTTTTGGGGTGAATCCTAATCATAAAGTGTTAGATGCTCTTGTTTAATGAGTGTAAGTACCAACGGGCTCTTTTGTGTGACAGGTCGTAGATATATTCCAGAGCAGTCTCTGAAGATAAACGCAACTTCAAGCATTTCCTCTGGGATTTTGTAGTCTTCTTACCCACCCAATGCCACTTTTGCCTTATCTTAGAGAGCCAGAAAGAGTCATCAAACACAGAGCAGTTACATCTTGAGGCTCATCCAAAGATTGTGTGTTGAAAATTGATTTTGATTTCGATGTTTCAAGGTTTGAAGATAATTATGTTGTAAACCTCACTTGTGTTCTTCCTATTTATTTGAACCATCATTATATTTGTGCGTTCTTTGGCTTCTTACTCTTTTTTTTTTGGTAATTGATTGATTCTGAAAGAGAGACAAGACATTCATTGGTATCAAATTTATCTCTGTTACTATGTACTTCAAAAATAAGATCATCAAAACCTAGGATTAAGCAAAACTTTTGTTAACAAAATCCTAATTATCTTGTAAGGTTACAAAAATAAAGTATATGATCCACAAGTATGGTCTAGAGTCATCAGGAGCACCGGAACTTAGGTACACCAAATTGCAGGGGAACGCAGCTCGGCAAAATCTGAAGCCATTTTCGCAGTGACCCAAGTCGTCGTCGTGAAGGCAAAAACCCTTTACCTCCGGGATCAAAATCTTGAAGAGACGAAGATGACGACATCGTTGTCTAAAATCCTTACGAGATCAAACGCTCAGAGCCAATGGTGCTCCAGTATCTCTGCCTCTCCCAAACATCTCTGGGCACGACACTTCTCCGCCGTGGCCGATTCTTCCTCCTCTAACTCAGCTGCGCTTGGAAGCCAATCGAGTTCTTCTGCTCCACCGCAAGGTATGTCACTCGTGCTATGTATTCCGATGCTTGAGCTTGAAATCTGGGGATAGTAAGAATCAATTTGTGAAAAATTTAAGCGCTTTTTGTTTCAGAGAAGAAACGAGGGTCCAAGTTGTCACAATTGCTGTTGTTCTTGCCTGGAGCGATTACCTTCGGCCTCGGGTCATGGCAGATCGTCAGAAGAGATGAAAAGGTCGGTGTAGTTATTTCGAAATCAATGAAGTCCTTTAACATTTTGTTTCATCGTCTTTTTCTTCTCCTTGCATATCTCTAGCTGAGTTATAGTTTGTCTTAGTCTTTTAGTTGGAATCTATATAGTGTGCTTAACACCAGCTCTTGTGGTTTTGTGATCAGTACAGGAGTTAGAGTAACTAGATTCTAGATTCGTGATCTGTGATATGGGTCACCACTTAGCTAGGCTGAGGCAATGAAGTTATGTGCGTCGCCATTTAGACCACTTAAGTTAATTAAAGTGTCTGATATCCAGTGAGAATTCGTATATCACATCGATGTTCAAATGTTTGTAATTCTTTCATATAAGTGATCTGTATTGGATTGTGAATCCATGCTCAGTACTGGCTACCATGCCCATTTCTTGGTTACAAATTTTTTCTTGATTCCGTTGCTTGGTGTCTTTTCTTTTTTTGCTTGTCCAAATAGTTGCTGAAGCTGATAATTTACCATTATTTGGTGCCTTCGGCTGAGTAGACCCTAAAGCTTAATTCACTCCTGTTTAACGCAGTTCAAAACACTGGAGTACCAACAGAAACGGTTGAATATGGAACCAATGAAGCTAAATACAGAACACCCTCCTGAAAAGAATCTGGATGCATTAGAATTTAGACGGGTTAGTTGCAAGGGTGTATTTGACGAGCAAAGGTCTATTTATTTGGGTCCACGGTCTAGGTCCATATCAGGAATTACTGAAAATGGATTTTATGTCATCACACCTCTTATGCCGATCCCTGGTGACCTGGATAGGTGAGGGTAATGATCCTTTCTCCTTGCTTTTAAATCTTTATATTACCCTTTTCTGACTTTTTGTCAGCCGCATAGATTAAAAATTAGGTCTTTTCCTCATGATTTCAGTTATGGCAGTGAAATTATTGAAGCTCTTTCTCAGGATATTATAGGCCATTGGGTTCTCTAATTCCATTATACTCTCTACACACTTGTCCATGATTGTCTTACACTAACCACATTATTTTGGAGATTCTGATAAGAGGAGATAGATACTAAAATGATTTGGTTAATAACTGTTAGACATCATCTAACTAGTAAAGAGATTGAGAATTAATTAGATATTATTCTTCTTGAATGTTATGCTGCAGTGTCACTTACGCCTTGGTTGGTCTTGCTTTGTCGTAGTTTTTGGCTGCCGGTTTTTAGCTCTATCTGTTAACTGTTTAGTGAAGTTGGCTTGTTATTTTCCTTTGTCTTCTAGCATGCAGTCACCTATTCTGGTGAATCGCGGCTGGGTTCCTCGAAGTTGGAGAGAGAAGTTGCCTGAATCCACAGATGCTGACTTCATTACAAACCAGTCAACAAAAGCTAAATCAATCTCGGATGAACAAAATTCCTGGTGGAAATATTGGTCTAAGAGTCCAATGATTACAGAGGTTGGTCTTGTTATACCCTCTTGTTCAAAAACTTCTTTCATTTATTATAACTCCGAATTCTCACATATTCGTTTTAGCTTGAACTGTCATCTTTTGGATGCATTGGAATAGAAAGATTGTATCTTTGCAGAGACAGATTGGATTTAGCTTTTTGCAAAGATTTTATTTTGTTTGTCTTTATCAAATTTCTTTCATATGTTGTGACTTGTGAAATTGAAATCTTGCAGCCACAAGTACCTGTGGTTAAGCCTGTAGAAGTCGTTGGTGTGATTAGGGGAGGGGAGAACCCGAGCATATTTGTTCCCTCCAATGATCCAAGTACTGGGCAGTGGTTTTATGTAGATGTTCCTGCAATGGCTCAAGCCGTTGGCCTTCCTGAAAACACAATCTATGTAGAGGACGTCCATGAAGAGATAGATCGGAGTAGACCATATCCTGTTCCTAAGGATATCAACACCTTGATCCGTAGTAAAGTCATGCCTCAGGACCATCTCAACTACTCAATAACATGGTAAAACTCAATACAGACACATGAGGTGTTCTTGGCATTGTCTGGTCTTTACTGCTATGGTAAATGAGTGACACTGTGTTTGTTTCTGTCTATTGCTGAACAGGTATTCTCTCTCTGCGGCTGTCACTTTCATGGCTTACAAGAGACTCAAGCCAAAGTCTGCTCGAAGATAAACTATCTTTCTGATCAAATCATATCTTGTTTTTTTTATATCACTCGTCTGCAGAAGTAATAATGGCAGTTGATAATGGGTTTAGGTTTAAACTTTCATAATAAAAAAGGGCACAATGAAATATTGAAATACCTAAATGTTGTGATAACTTGACAAAAATTTGTAGTTTTCTTATTCTTTTAATCACTTAATTCATTTATATCAAGGTAAACCTTAAAGTAGTATCTTACCCGAAACTACATAGACAAAAAAAAAAAATCAACCACTGTAAATGTTGCCAACACCAAGCAAGAAAAGAAATATAAAAGCAATGTATGTGCGAAGTGATACTGGTTAACTCGTACCAAAAACTTAAAAAAAATAGAATTCTAAAAGGTGAAATTTAATCAGTTTGACACATATTTAGCCAAAAATAACTAAATTAACTCTTTACCATTGATATTTACTAGAAGTCTAGAATGACACAACATTTCTCTAAAAAGTCCATAAAATATTGACTTTAAATATGACTTTTTCTTTATTTTGTAGTAGATACAACTGTAGAACCAACCAAATAAATAGGATGATTGTACATTTTACATACGCTTGAAAAAATCTTCAAAAAGTTATAGAAAGTGTACACAACATTATGGTTTAAGGTTTTGAAAACAAGACTCCACTCCATAATCAATGAGAAACTAAAAAGGTAGTCTTCTCATCCCTTGTATCTATATATATATATTTCAAAATTTAAACTAGAAACTTCATTACTCTCCAAATTAATATCTCTTCATCGCTCTTGTTTCTCGTCTAATCCAATCCCAATGGCGGCATATTCATCCATTCTTAGAAGGTGTAGAAAAGAGACTTCAAATCGACTTTTCATGAACGAATTTTCGCGACAAACTTACGAGAGATTTCTTGAAGACGATCGTCGAGCATGTGGAGTGTACGATCGAGAGTTTTTTTTCTCCAGAAATCAGGTATATGCATATCTTCTGTCGGCATCCACTCTATTTGTGTACTACGATAGGGTCATCATCAAAACTTGTGGTGGTACCAAGATTTTGAGTTGATTGAAATCATTCTTAATGTTATGGGAGAGGCGAATCCAAAAAACATAAGGCATAGTCGTGAACCTTTTTTCAGACCCAAATTGCAACCTCATCCACATTAAAAACGAGCGTTTTAAACTTATCATATGCCTGAATAGATGCTATCTTTCTTGATTTAATGTTCTTACAAATAAGATAGAGATAAGACCATCATCATCCCTCATCCTTCATAAAGATCTTCCCATAAATTAATTATAATAATAATAAATTATTATTTAAATGATTGAGTGTTTTAAAACTTAAGACATAATGTTAAGTGTTTGTTCAGAAACTTTGGAGAAAGATGTCTTTTTAATCTAAAAATCTTTAATATTAAATTATTAATATTTTTGTAATTACAATTTTTTAATATACCTAAGATATTCTCTTTGCATGTGCAATGAAAGTGCTCTAAGAATCAAATTCTAGTTTTTGAAACTCCCTTGAAGATCCTTCAAACTTAAGATATTTTTGAAACAAAACAAAGTTTGTGTATCAATATCAGACATCTTCGCCGAAGATAAATACTTAAACAAATTCTGGGAATTTGGATTCATCAAAGCATCCATGCATTTTGGTTTTGTAATGATTCCATCAGTTCAATATAAAATTTATTAACAAAAAACAAAAATTAAAGAAAGCTTTGTATATATACGTGGGCGAGTGATAAGCTAAAAAAATCCCATTATTTCATTTTCATTTTCTCAAATGAAAAAAAAGATTATTTTGGTGTGTATACACACAACCAAAATTAAAATTAAAATAAAGAAAGATAAATTACTTGTGCTTTTAGTCTCATTTTATTTTTTTTATAGGCAATTTGCCTCCTAACGTAACATAAGATAAAATCTATCTTTCTCCAATATATTTATCAGACAATTTTAACAGCTAAAATTATAAAAACAATTTCACCAAAAAATATTTCTCTCTTTCTCCAATATATTTATGAGATAATTTAGCATGTCATAATATGACATTGACATAGATTGTAGTATCGTCCTCATTGCTACGTTTGTGTTCTTTACAAGTACAAATTAAAAGTATAAAAAAAGGTTTGACTCAAAAACACAATATATATTTCTATGTATTTTACATTCTTTTTTTTGGGACAAATTATCCAATATATTTATTAGACAATTTAGGAGCTAAATTAATGATAAAAACAGTTTGACCCCAGAAAAAAATATTTCTCGACATTACTATGTATTTATGTATATATTTTTTTTCATCCGATCATTAAGCAGCTAAAATTTTAAAAACAGTTTTGACCAAGAAAAAAGAAATGATAAAATAGAAAAGAGGGAGGTTCTATTTTGATGTTCTATTTTATCATGTCTTTATGTTCTATTTTATCATCCCCAGAATTGTCTTTATCATTTCTATAAAATAGAACATAAAGACAATTCTGATAACATCAAATCAAACGAAAGTTCAAAGACGGTTTGGGTTATCCAAATAACAAAAAGGTCAACCATTGTCAAATGTTACCAGGCCAAGCAAGAAACATTAAAGAAAAACGTACATCATACTAAAACAAATTATATATGAAAAATAGAAATCGATTCTTTAAAACAAAATGTTCCTATAAAATATGGGAATTTCCGAAATGATACTATATATGATAAATGGCAAGAAATGAAACAATTTAATATCAGCATCTTCTCGAAATATGAATATTGCTGAGTATGCGAGTGTAAAACCGTGTTTTAAAATTACGTAATCAGTGATAGGGATGAAGAGATATGGCATGTAAGGAAGGCCAGGTGTACATATGTACATGCCATATTGTGGCAGATGAGCTTCTCCAGTCACCAAATTGCATAATACTATAATTTTGGTTAAGGCATTTAAGGAAGGCCAGGTGTACATATCAGTCTTGTTCGCCAGAGAGAGAGAGAGAGAGAGAATCATCATCCTCGCTGTTTCCTATTTGCCATTTTTTTCACCCAATCATCATCTTCTTCTTCTTCTTCTTCTTCTTCTTTTTCCTTTTCTTCCCATCAGAGAGCTGATCCATGGCGGTTTCCAAATTCACCTCGCCTGAGGCTTTCCTTTGTAATTCGGTCTTTTGAGAAGTCAAATCCCTAATCTCATCGAATTCTCATGGCGATCATAACAGGAGATCGATATCTGGAGAATCTCCAGAAGTTCCTTGAAGAGAGAGCTGATTCGCTTATTGATGGCACCGATGTTCTCAAGCTCAATCCCGCCGGCCTTCACTATGTTCATCTCCGTCTCGAATCTCTCCGTGAACTCGAGCGTATGCTCTCCGGAGCTCCGGTTGACTATCTCCGCGCCTACGTCTCCGACATTGGCGATTTCCGTGCCCTCGAGCAGCTCCGGCGTATTCTTCGCCTCCTCCCTTCTCTTAAGGTCGTTTCTTCGCTTCCTTCACCATCTCGTGATCCTACGCCGCTCTCTCTTCTTCCTTTTTCTAAGCTTAAGGTCTTGGAACTCCGTGGCTGTGATTTGTCTTCTTCTTCTGCTAAGGGATTGCTCGAACTCAGGCACACCCTGGAGAAGCTCATCTGTCATAATTCCACTGTGAGTTTTCCTCTTTTCCCCCTTTTGTTGTTGTTATTTTATGGTTTAGTGCATTTCCGCTATGGCATTGAGTGAGGTTATAGCTCTGTTCTGTTCTGTGTTGATTTAGGCTGTAGACTAACTGACCTACATTAGTATTTTTGGAATCGGAAATGAACGCTGCCAAGTTTTCATGTCATTTCTTCAGAGGTTTCAGGACACAAAGGTTGATGTTTGAGTTTATTCTTGTGCTTTGCTTGTCTTTGAATCGTTTTGGGAAGTCCCTGACTTATATTTTCCGCGTCTCCAATAATTGTAGGATGCACTGCGCCATATCTTCGCTAGTAGAATCGCCGAGATAAAGGACTCACCACAGTGGAATAAGTTGGCTTTCGTGTCTTGCGCTTGTAACCGTCTTGTGCTCATGGATGAGTCTTTGCAACTTCTTCCATCTGTTGAGTCGCTTGATCTGAGTCGAAACAAGTTTGCAAAGGTGGATAATCTTCGGAGATGTTTCAAGTTGAAGCACCTTGATCTGGGGTTCAATCAACTTAGAAAGATCTCTCACTTGAGTGAGGTAGGAAAGTTCAGGTCTCTGCATGTCCATCTATAGATTTCATTCGATCTGAAGTAGCTTAACATTTTTGATTGTTAGTTACTATCTCTTGAACCATTTAGCTAGTCTTGATAGTTCTAAAAATACTATGGCATAGTTCGAACAGGCAGAAGATATAAGCATTACTTTGACTTTCTGCGCTGATGATTTTATTTAGATTTTTCCCTAGGGACCCATACATCTATTTTTTGGACTATGCAGGTATCCTGTCACCTTGTTAAACTTGTTTTGAGGAATAACGCGCTGACTACATTGCGTGGGATTGAGAATTTGAAGTCACTTGAAGGCCTTGATGTTTCCTTCAATCTTATTTCCGACTTTTCAGAACTGGAGTTCCTCGGGAGTCTTTCATTCTTGACAGACCTGTGGTTGGAAGGAAATCCAATTTGTTGTGCACGATGGTATAGGGCACATGTCCTCAGCTACGTTGCTCATCCAAATGATGTGAGTTTTTTTTTAAAGACTATAGAATCTTATTAAAAATACAAAACTTGCACCATTCAATTTCTGCTTCATTCAAAATGCTTTTTCTTATCTGTGCGCAGTTGAAGCTAGATGGCAAACATATTGGGAATAGAGAATTTTGGAAGAGGCAGGTTGTTGTTACCCGTAGGAAAAGTCAGCCTGCCAGCTATGGGTTTTACTCTCCGGCCAGAGACGAAGCTGATGATGAAGGAAGCTGTAATAGAAAAAAGGTAGTCAGGAGAAAGTTAGTTATTGTTTATTTACATCTTTATAATCTGCTCGTGGCTGTTGTGGCCTAATCATGAATAACCTATGAATATATCCAAACCAGTTACACAGGTGTAGTATGGTATGGCTTTTTGAAAAGCGTCGTGAACATACACATCACTCAATAGGCAGCTTCTCTATGTGCTCTTTGAGAGTTTCAGTCTCTTGGTTTGATTTGTGGTATAAAATACGTAATGAAACTAATAATCTTCCTCTTTTTTCCTTTCACAGACTAAAATTTATCGGCTTGCGTCTATTGATAGTGAGGAAGAAAGCACCTATCTGAATTCTGATCAAGAGTCTGCTTCATGTGAACCCGAATCTCAAAGCAAAGAGGAGAGTATCAAGTCTGATCATGAAGCTGAAGTCTTTGGACTAATAAGTAAAGTTGAACAGTTGAAGAAAGAACGTTCTGTTCTTTGGCTTCGAGAGTTTAAGGAGTGGATAGATCATCCGTCAGAGGATTTTATGGATGTCCGAAAAAATGGGAGCAGTACTGATTCAGAGGAAAATTATTACACGAAGAATAAAAATAGACCAAAGCATCATGGTGAAACATTGAGATATGCATCAGGGCCTTTACCAGGTTTCCAAATTGCAGATTCAAGTCAGAAGCCTCAAGCATTTTTTCTTGATGGGAAGCCAGATGAAAATGGAAACATGTCAACATCAGATGCTACGCAGGATATGACAGGATCACTTTTACCCTCATCACCCCCTCATTATCAAAAGGATGTCTTACACAGGCGTCAGAACCTGGTGGAAGAAATCTTACAGCTGTCAGCAGATTCTTATTCAGTGGCGTCGTCTGATAGCACAAGCAGCTGCAGTGAAAATGAAGATAATGATTCTGAGCAATCAAATCCTGAACAGGATACATTGATGGATAATCTTCGTGGGGATAGACCTAGGGAGGAGATTCTTGGATCTGCTAAACAAGGCACAAGCTTCCTTGACTCTCAACCAGAGAAGAGTAGCATCATTAAGACTTGGAGGATAGATGATTCGTTCAAAGCAAAGACCACTAAAATTCTTTCTGGACTGCATAATAGTGAGCTTGCTTCTGGTGTTAACCAGATATACAATTGGTTTGACAAAAAGAAAAGCAAAAGGAAGCATAAAAAAAGAGATGTTTCTTTACGAGAGGAAAATAGTTTCATAAGTAATGGTAAAACAACTCAAAGAAGTGATGCAGATATCAGTGATTCTTGTGAAGATGAACATATTTCTGATCATTTTCAAGAAGGTTCCTTGACTACCGGTTGTAATAGTAAGAGAAGTACTAGATTTGTGGGAACTGAAAAGTCCCCTGAAGTAATAGGTGGTCTAGTGGAGGAATATTTTACAATAACTCAGTCAGATTCCAGCATTGATGAGACTTGTAGGATATTTGTTACTTGTGATTGTGTACTACCGCAAGAATCTACCTGCAAGCAACAGTAAGTTTTGTTCCCTTTGTAATTGTTGTTCTAGGTGAAAGAAAGTAATCTGAGTCCCTTCTATTGTTAAAGACTTATGATATTTTTCAGGGACATGCCGAGTAGAAAAATAGTCACTGAGGTTGCATAGATATTGCTTCTCTAGTCTTCTAATATTCAATTTGAAAATGAAAAACTAGTTAATGGAATTAGATCGCAATGTTCTTGGTTCCCTTGTGAATCACATGTATAAATTTTATTTTCTTTATTTTTATTGTAATTACAAATTTGTCATGAATTTACAAGTATAGCATCTCTTCTTTGCCCCCTGACAGTACTTGATAAATGCAGGGAAGTAGTGTTCCTGCTGAGTAGCCAAGAAAAACTGTATGTGCTGCTCGTTGGTGTCTCTACTGATTCACAAAGTTAGACTGCTCTTCCCTGTCTTCCACTTTTTTTCTTTATGTCCGAATGTGTCATACTCTCTTGATGCTGACTTACTTTTCCTTGACTCCTGGTGCCTGCAGAGAGCAACTTAAGTTTATTGTGTTCGCATACGATCGAGGATATACAGGACGTCTCAGTTGGTCTGGGACTTCAGGTGGTGAGGTTAGTCTTTTATGGTTCTGCTTTCAAACTTCATTATGTGCCCATGTCCCTAACCTCTCGCTTTTTTTTTGGTTTAGGCTACGCTTTAGGGAGGATGCAGAGTACATATTCATAACAGCGAGCATTGAAAAAACAACAGTTTTACTCAATATCATAAAATTCTTGGACTCGCAGGTTACAGATTCAAAATGTTCTTTGGGAAGGTGAACTAACTCATCTTTTTCTTCAGCTGTCTCTACTGATTCTTCTTCTGTCTTCTGTCTTCTGATTTTTGTCTTGTATTGAAACTTAATGGCAGTTTGGAGAATGCTCAAGTGGAATTGTTTGAGAAAGATATATGCAGTGGTTTGAAGCCAAGTATATTTCAGTATAATGTTCTTCATTTTCATAACAGCACTCTTGGAGGTATAATCATTCTTGCATAACTTTGATTGTTGAGTGAGAAATGGTTCACCTCTATTGCTCACTCTACATGCCATTTTTTCCTGAAACCATAAGTGGACTAATCCTCCAAGTATTATATACTCAAAGAAACTATATAATACTGAATGGGATGTCCTAGTCTAATAGATATAGAGATTAGACACAGTTCATGAAACTCTTGCGAATTGAGCATGTTTTGTATCTCTTAATAGGGTTTTCCTAGCTTACAAGTCATGTATATCGAGCTGTATAAGCGCTGCTATATACCATAGTGTTAATTAATTTTCTTCTACTAAACTGAACAGAAGTTTCATGGCTTCCACGGTCGCTCTTTGTGGCGGGTGGACATCTCTTCATATGCAATGAAGACTTCAGGCAGCTGAGTTCTCTGCTGACGGATTCTTCTTCTGCTCCGTATTTCTCACTTGACTCAAGCTGCTCCATCTCCGACATATTTGAGATGGTAACAATTTTTGTTCTTTCCCTTTGCTCTCAATAATGTCAGTTTTTCTTCACGTGCAGTCTGTGTATTATCCAGGTTATTGAATCACGAGGAAGCCCACGCTTGTCACTGAAGATCAAGCAGAAGGATTCCACATTTCAAACCAGACAAAAAAGGACAGTGAATTCAGTAACATGGAAGCTCAAGTTACTCAGCACTGAGTGTGTACTCAAATTCGTGGCTCTAGTAAATGGACTTCACCCAGATTCGACAGAATTCCCGTTGCTTGTAAGACATTTGGGGGAGAGATAAGTCGTGAATGTTTATAACTTTAGATTCATTTGATTCAATTTGTTCATGAGTTTAGATTCATCTTTGTAGAAAGCCCTTGAGGGTCCTGTGGTGTTCAAAATATTCTTCGATTTGTATATTTCTAAGCAAGTGTGCATCATACATACAACAAATAGCAAGTAAAAAAGAAAGAAAACAGAACAGATTCTGGATTTTTTACTTTGAAAGCCTGTGCTGTTTTTATTTTACAAACTTTTGCAAGTGATGGAAAACACACAATGGGAGAACCTAGTCAACCTTGGTCTTCTCTTCATCAACCTGTGCCATCAATGCCTCTAACTCTGCCTCGGATAAGCTCTCCAGCCGTTTCTGCACATTACAAAACCAACCAAATATGTTAATGTTGGGTCAAATACGTAAATCGAAAAGCCTGATTAAGAAGAGCACAAACCTGCATGACTTGAGACTCGTAGTCACGAAGTTGCTGGGCATAAGTCATTTCCTTGTTGCCGACTCTAAAGATGTAAGTAGAAATCCAACCCAAAGTCAAACCGAGCACCAGTATCAGCTGAACTGCATTCCCTGCTTGCAGTGGATCCACTCCCACATACTGCCCCATTTCATAATAACACTCAGGAAAAAAAACTAATTTGATATCAATTTATATAAGACAATTGAGTATTACCTCAAGTCCACTCTCTAGTCCGATACCAAGTGCGGTCACTCCTACTCCTATCAACAGAACATCCTTTCTCGTGTAACCGAAAGGTGTCGTCTATATAACCAAATAATCACACAACAGAGTTTGCGTCAGGACATGAAACTCTACTAGTACTAACTACGGTGACGATGTAAAATTGAAATTATTGAAGAGATGGCGATGAGACCTTGGTCTTTGTGGCAGAGTCGTCTTCAGTTTCAGTAGAGTTTGAGCTAACTCTACATCTCATTCTTTGTCTCTCTCTCTTCTCTACTAATGATGATGACAATCCATGTCCCTCGAATCTATATAAGGCTTGCTTCGCAGCTATAGATCCTGCATCATCTCACATCATAAACAGAGGAGAGGGTTTTACCATCGTTTCAGCTCTAAAATCATAAGTTTCGTAGAAATCGATTGGGAGAAAATTCAATCAATTGCGAAAAACCTGTGAATTGTCGCCCAACCGGACGAAACCGTGTAGCAGCAGACAGAACCTCCTGATTTCTGCATAGATTCGAAACTCCGTATGGTAAAGAAGCCATTTCTGTGTGTAACCCAATAAGCCTGTGGTGGGTTACATGTGAAATTCGAAACCCAGAGATTGAGAGTAAATAGCGAGACGAAGAGATTAGAGTGATGGGTGGTTGATATTTCACGCGCCCATAGGCTTTTTGGTTTCTTCAGCTTCAGTTACGTGTCTTCCGTAAACCGGATTACAATTACAAATTCAATTATGGTTTATACTAAACCATTATCTAATTGGACTCTTTTTGTTTCCCTAGTTCATGTGAACAAAAACTCATTCACAAATGGACGAAACGTTTATCAAGATATGAAAAATCAACGCAACTTTTACAATGTCAAAATACCCAGTTCAGTTTGATTTAATTATTGAAAATTACTCTTCTTTACCGATTCAATGGACCAATCAACCGGCACTTTATTCCCCCCCCCCCCCCACATCAATCATCTAACACCTAAACTAAACCTCTCAAGCTGAAAACTCAAACAGCATTGTGTGCTGGTACTTGTCACCAGCTTTAGCCACAATAGATGGGAAATTCGACTGGTTAATCGCGTTGGGGAACCCCTGCGTCTCAAGGCACACACCCGCATGTTTCCCGTAAACGGCGCTCCCTTTCCCAACCACTCCATTCACATAGTTCCCGGTATAAAACTGCAGTCCAGGCACATTGGTCCACAAGTCCAATACCCTTGAGCCAGCACCGTTACTGAGCTTCGCTGCGTGTTTTAGCCCATCCTTCTCTTGATCAGGACAGTCCAACACGTAGTTATGATCATATCCGATACCAACCTCTCCTATAGACTCGCCTATCCGTTTCTCCTTTGTGAAATCGAAAGGAGTTCCCTTTACAGGCAAGATCTCCCCTGTTGGAACTGTGTATTCGTCAACGGGGGTGATGTGAGACCCCAAAATCTGTATCTTATGGTCGAGAATGTTTCCTGAGTCATGACCCGCCAAGTTCCAGTATGTATGCTGAGCTAAGTTAATGGGAGTGTCTTTGTTCTCAGGAACAGCCTCCATGTCAAGTCTCATCGTCGTGGCTGAGGTGAGAGTGTATGTTGCCGTGACAGCAACTGCACCGGGGTAACCTGTGTAGGTGACAGTAAACATTATTTAGCTAGCTAAATCAAATCACAGAGATATCAAATTCTAGATAAGGATATGTCAGGACCTTCTTCTCCATCGGCGCTGTGATACTTGAAAGTGATGAAAGGTTTTTCACCGTCTTTCTTGTGCCCTGCAACTTCCCATATCTTCTTATCGAAACCCTTGTTACCACCTATATGGTTTGATGTTAAAATCATGGAGAGCTATATAACATACAGAGAAGAGAAAATTATTATATATTATATATATATACCGTGGAGACTATTGGGAGGCTTGTTGATGGGCAAAGTGTAGTTGACTCCATTGAGACTAAATTTTCCCTCTTTGATTCGATTTGCCACACGACCAACTATGCACCCAAAGTACGGTGCAAGACCGTTCTGTTAACGATCATATCATATATTAGATACAAAGATTTAAAAAACCACACACAGGCTCATTAGTTACTACTGTTACATCATCCAAATGATTTTGCTTTTTCATCACACGTTATACCACAAGATTACGTGACCATATACATTTCTTACAGTATGATTCAGATACTATTATAAGATCTGTTGTTGCTAATAACACTATCTATTAACCAAAAGAGTTAGAATTTTGAGATCAAACACACCCCAGATCGGATGAATCTATGGGGAGATCAGACAAAAGGATTATGTGAATTCGAGATAAATTACCACATATGGATCTACCGAGTCGAATCCGAGAACTACATCAGCCAATTTCCCTTCAGATAAGAAAAAACAAACTCGATAAAATCAGAGGATTGATATTCAATTTTGGAGACATAACAGAGATCATCTGAGAGAGGAAGTAGGAAGAGAAGAGAAGAGAAGGAACCGTTCTTGTCGGGAACAGACAAAGAGGTGATGGTGGCGCCGTAGTTTGAGATCTTGACCAGCATGGAGCCATTGTTGAGCTCGAAGATCTCTGGAGTGTTCTTGCTCTGTTCCGCCATTAGAGGGGCTCTCGAGGATAAAATCAATTAGGGGTTTTAAGATTAGAAGCGAAGTGATTTTGGTGGACAGAGGATGATCTATTGAGGAGAAAACAAAACAAAAGGGCAAAGTGATGACTGATCAGTTTGGTTTTGCCTTATCATCAACCAAAATCGTAATCTCGTAACTGATCAATGTTGACGTCATCCACATCCCAAACTACTTTATCTTGTTTTTCTTTTTTTCCTTTTTTTCTTTTTTTTTTGGTTCAATCTTTTTTCATTGTTTTTTTTCGTTAAAGATCTTTTTTCATTGTTTAATTATCTTGTTTTACCCAAAAGATACCCAACTCATTTTTATGGGTAAAAATCCAAATGTTATCAACTAAAACCCAAAACTATATAGAAAGAAAACACAAAATAGATAGAATTTTGATATAATCACAATTTTAATTATTGTTGTTAAAAACTGAACCATTTTTTTTTATTAGCAAGCTATTAAATTAAAGATTGATAAGTCAGATTAGGAACGAGGAAAAAAAGGAAGGAAAATGATAAAAATAAAAGATACTCTATAGTACTGTACTGTATACGTAAATCATAAACAGCGTCTTCGCGTGAATTTAGAATTTAGAAAATTAGCTCAACCTTTTTCAGGTATCCTATGAAAAAAACGATGGAACCTATAAAAAGCTTACTTTGTTATTTAATTTTCTTTTCGCAAATTTCAATATGCTTCTCAAATCTCAACCAACATGTACCAGCTTTTACCATAAGGTTACAAAAATAAAAACTGTTCCCATAAAAGATTCTGATATTCCCATAACTAGAAACCACTCAATCAAAACTTTATAAAACAAATATATATGAAGAGCTCAGGGATCGAAAGAAATAGTGTAACAGATGGCAAAGAGGTCTTTAAGCTTAAAGGAAAGCACAATCATTTCAAAAAGCAAATCATTTGTCACTTTCTTCTTCTTCCTCCTCACCTATCCATCTATCTCTCTATCATCCCCAACCAAACCAAAAAACACTTTCCTCTTTCTCTCATTTCGAAACTCCCCACTCCGACGTCGTTTTAGTTCAGTGACCAACGAATACAGAGGAGATGCAAGATCCACGCAATCATGTTCCATCTTCTCCCACCATCTCCTCCGTCTCCTCCTCCGATCTTGATACTGAGGTCAGTTCCTACAATCTTAACACTTAGTAAAGATTCTAATTTATCTGCTTCCACATATAGCTTTCTCCTTTAAAGCATCAACCTTTAATTACAAGACTAGTTTTAAAGTTCCAAAGATTATATTTTTAGAACTGCCCAGAAACATATATTTGTTTTTCTTATATGTTCTGGTGAAATTTTTTGTTTTTGGCATAGGAAATAATTTTGTAGTATTCATTTTTCAAAGATATTGAAATTTGATGTTTTTGAAGTCTTGATTTGGTTTTTTTTTTATAATGGTGATTGTGAGGAATTAGTCTACAGGATCCTTCTTCCACGACAGAAGCATCACACTTGGAACGCTTATGGGATTTAGTTTCACCGCAACCATGCCGATGCCATTCAGAGCTTCTTCGCAACGCCACGTGTCACCCTCCGTAGCAATCTCACGAGCTTCCAGCTCCAATGCAAGACGCCACCTGAGGAAGCGTCCTCCTTCTAGTTCCGCTGAGCCTGAGCGGCATCGCCGCCGTAAATGGTGGCGTTTTTGCAGAGACGACGATGACGATGCCGGAATCCACCGTGGCACCGGAGATTCAAAGCGGTCATCGCTCGGTGAGTATTTAGAGGTGGAACGGAGGTTCGGAAATGAAGCCGTTTATAACTCAGCCGAGGCGGAGGAGCTAGAGGGTGCGGTGGCGCGGTACCAAGAGCAGCAGCCGGTTATGGGGGAGCGGGCATTGTTCGCCGACGGGAGGGTTCTTCCTCCGGCTTCAGCTGAGCTGGTTAACGGAGAAAGTACGCCGGTGGCCACGGCCCTTTGTAGATTCCCGGTTTCATTAACCGGTATATGCAGCTGTGGCGGAGGATAAAACACGGCGGCTTAATCTGTGTGTGTACGTTTGTTTTTATTTTTCTTTTGTATGTAGACTTTGTTTAATAGTTGTAATTCAGTTTCTAGAATCGGAATCATGGGTTTTGTAGAAATGTGGGATGTAGTCAAGAGTAATTATTTGGGAAATAATGATTTGATAAGGAGAAATAATTAGAGATGGCAGTAGTAAGAAAAAAGCATTGAGCTGATGGCACATGCAAAAGCTTTTGTGAAAAAATGGGGTTGTAGAATTATTAAAGATGATGGCAATTAATGGCACATATTTCTCATATGGGTTTCCAAACTACAAATGTTGATTGAGTCTTCGAAATAAGCTTTGTGAATGTTTTGTTTCAGACAACTGGAGATAAATAACCAAACCAAAAGACCATCTTATAGCTTACACTTTTGAAAGATCATCTCTTAGGTGTAAGCATATGTTTTGTTTAGTTGAGTCCTTTCATCAAAGCATTCGTTGCTTTTTAAAGTCATCACAAAAATATTATTTTGAATATGTCTAGACCCATAATGATTCATGAATTTTGGTAAATGGGAGTTGACATGTTGTCTGCTCCTCGTGTTTTGTTTTGTGATATGTGATGAATAATGTCGATGTGATTTTGGCCTATGTAAATTGTGGGGTTGAGAAGAGCTCTTTCATTTGTCTCGCGGCTGACCCATCAATGAGTTTGTGAGAATGTTCAAAGTTTTGTGGGTACTTTGAAAAGAAAAGAAAAGAAAAAATATTGAAAGTAGTAGTCCACTACAAAGTTTTGGTTTTGTCGAGTTGGATTGGCTAGTCTTTGTGTTTGTGGTTGTATTGAAGTAAGTCTTTTTTGGAGCCATGTATCTTATAATCATTCTTCTTCATATTACGACCCACTCACTTAAGAGAGATTTCAGTTAATTTTATTTCTTCTTGTATATTTTTCCCCCCAAAATTAATTCTCTTTACACATGCTTTCTTGAATCAATGATAAGCTTCTCCATTTTGTTGTATTATTATGTGATAAATGATAATAATCAAACCTTGTAAAAGCAGGGCACGGGACAAGTCTTATAATTGGAACACATCATCTATAACTATTTTTCACTTGATTGGAATGCTTAACTTAAGAGAAAATGTAGGAAAATGTTTGGTATGTGTGTCCATATCTTAGTTTTAAACAATTGTTTGATGTAAGAAAAAGAAAAAACAAAACATTGTAAAAAGGGAAACAATCAATAATTTTTTTTTTCTTTTTGTTATTTTCTTTTGGGTTTTACAACGTGAATAAAATAAAATAAAATAAAAACCCTAGAGTGATGTTAAAAAAGAAAAAGAATAAAACTCTAGCAACGCAACGCAAAACAAAAAAGGAAAAAAGATGTCTGGCTACACGAACTATAAAGCAATGCATGGTCACACATGCAAAATATCATATTGTATAGTCAATTACACGAACTAAATGTATTGCATGGCCACATGCATCAACTATACAACGTCATGTATTCAACACTATAGACATAAAATTCTAATACACCGGTCAACTGATTCTGGCGTTGACCGGTGTTGACTCCGGCGTTGACCGTTTTTGACCAAAAAAAAATTCCAAACTTTTTTTTATATAATTTTTATTTTTCTTGTTAAAAAAACTAAAAACTGTAATTAATTTTGAATTTTTAATTATACAAAACTATAAACAATTTCAAGATATTATATTATTAAAAATATAATCTTAGGAAGAAAATGACGAAATCATCATAGCAATTTTAATTTTATTGTTAATAAAAATATTAACTTATTATTTGATTTATTTTAAATACAAAATCATCATAGCAATTTTCTTCCTAAGATTATATATTTTCATTATACAAAACCATAAAAAATTTAATTAAAAAAATATTGATTTTGTTTTTATATATTCAATATCTAAATACTAGTTTTGTTTAAATCTTTAATGTATTCATTCTTATTATAATTAGTTAATTCTAAATTTAGAGCTAAACTAATAGTAAAATAACTCAAGATATTAGAATCTAAATTAAAACTGGAAAATCTTATCAATTAGTAAGAATTGCTTATTTTTACATTGTCAATCAAAACCATTAACTTATTATGTGATTTACTTAAATACAAAAATTATTGTTACAATTTTTTTCCTAAGATTATATTTTTTAAAAGTATACAAAACCATAACAATTCATTATAAAATAATTACAGTTTTTAGTTTTTTAACAATAAAAATAAAATAATATAAAAAAATTTGGAATATTTTTTTGGGTCAAAAACGGTCAACGCCGGAGTAAACACCGGTTAACGCCAGAGTCAGTTGACCGGTGTACCAGAATTTTATGTCTATGGTGTTGACTACATGACGTTGTATAGTTGATGAATGTGGTCATGCAATACATATAGTTCGTGTAGTTGAGTATAAAATATGATAATTGGCATGTGTGACTATGCATTCCTGTGTAGTCAGCCATCTTTTTTCCAACAAAAAACTCAATTTCACATTTTAGGGTCTTTGTCTCTTATCTTTAAAAGCAGCAAAGCAGTAGGAAGGAAAACGTCATCGATGGCGTCTCAAGCTGCGAATCTGTGGGTTCTTCTTGGCTTAGGTCTCGCTGGGATTCTTATGATTACGAAGAAGCTCCAGAAGACCGTCCGTGAAGATTTCGGCGCTTTCATCGATAAACTGTTGCTTCTTCCTCCTCCTCAACCTGCTCCTCCCAAAGCTCCTCATCCCCTCACCGGCCTCACTTTTGCCCTTTCCGACCTGTCAGTCCCCCCTTTCTTCTCCCCCTTCTCCTCACACACATATATATATATTCCCTTTTCTTAATTGGGGATTTTAGATTGACTTGTTTCGGCTAGGGTAGTCAAAATTTTGTTTGACATATTTTGGAATCTGCGTTGACTCCCTTCTCACTCTTCTCTAAGCTTTAGAGAGTATGGCTGATAGATTTTGAGCAACTTTATTTGTAGTAGATTTAAATGTGTGTGTGCGTCTGCTAGTTCTCAGTATAAGCTGCAAAATGCGTGTTTGTATGTTTTGGATGGAAAATCATGTCTCTGAGAGTGTTTGACATAGACTTATCCATGGAGTCTACTTACAAGTTAAAACAGTATCAACATGTTGACTAGGAAATATTTATCTAATATTTGTGTATAGTCTCATTCTTTTCTATGAACTTTTGACATATTTTTTGTTCTTGTTAAAAATTAAAATTCACTCTTTCTCTCCTTCTCATTTGTTTTCCAGATTCGATATTACAGGCTACGTGACTGGCTTTGGTCATCCAGACTGGGTCAGGACGCATGAAGCTGCTTCTTCTACTTGTCCTGTCGTTTCAACTCTTGTTGAAGGTGGAGCCACTTGTGTTGGAAAAACTGTTGTTGATGAACTTGCGTTTAGGTTTGTCTCTCTTTAGATTACATATGTTGAATTGTTACCTATATTGGTTGATGACCTATAGTTTGTGATTCCAGTGTTTAGATTTTTTGTTTTTATCAGGGTTTTTACTCCTTTGTATTGCTGTTTTTATTTTCTTCAGTATCAGTGGAGAAAACAAACATTACGATTCACCTACAAATCCTGCGGCTCCTGCTCGTATTCCTGGTGGTGCTTGCAGTGGCGCTGCTGTTGCTGTAGCTACTAAAGCTGTGGATTTTGCGTTAGGTGAGTTTAGTAGATACACTTTTCCCTTGTTAGGACAATTTTGCATGACATAACTGTTTGTTTTAGTAACAGAACATTGCATAAACTTTCTAAACATTGTTGATAGTTATCTTCCTTAGGAAACGACTTGTAACATGTTTAATATTTGCATTACGTTTTCATCAAAACTGCCACCATATTGCAGTTTCAAGCAAGAATATAGTTTTGATGAATTGTATTATTGCAGGCATCGACACAGTTGGCGGGGTAAGAGTGCCTGCTGGATACTGTGGCGTTCTTGGATTCAAATCTTCTCATGGGGCTATCTCAAACACAGGAATCATACCAGTTTCTTCAAGTCTTGACTCTGTTGGTACGGATATATAAATCTGTGAATTATATTGGTGAAATGATTTGGATATTATATAGGCTAGGTTTTGACTGTTATACTCATAATGCTACCTGTGTTCAGATGACCATTTTAAACTTAGGACCATTATATGAGGATTATGTCGATTCTGATCAATAGATATTGGCTTCAGGATGGTTTGCCCACGATCCAAGCACCCTACGTCGTGTTGGGCATGTACTCTTGCAACTTCCATTTGCCACACAACGGAATCCAAGGCAAATCATACTAGCGGATGACTGCTTTCAGCTGTTAAAGATCCCTGTGGACCGGATTACCCAGGTGGTGATCAAATCAGCTGAAAAACTTTTTGGAAGTATGTCCTTTGCTCTTCCTGAAAATCCTCTGTCTCTGTTACATATTCTGATTGTAACAACATTATCCTTTGTTTCATATTTAGGACAATTGCTGAAGCATCAGAACTTGGAGAACCATTTTGAAACTAAAGTTCCTAGCTTGAAAGAGTTCGCTAGGACAAAAGCCGATGCTAACACGAAGGTCCCAACACTGAGACTACTGGCGAATGTGATGCAGCTTCTTCAAAGGTATGCCTATTGTTTATTCACCAACAGAGGATGAGAGAATCTTGGTTTTGCACTCTAAAACGATCTTGCGTTGTTTTGTAGGCACGAGTTTCTTCACAATCATGGAGATTGGATCAACACAGTAACTATTGATCCTGTGATTTCATCACAAGTTCGTGAGAACCCAGAACTAACCAGTGAAGAGATTGAGAACCTGAATTTAATCAGAAACGAGACTCGAGTGGCTATTGGTTTACTTCTCAAGGTATTCCTGCTCTTCCATGAGATGCCAACAACTTGAGCAAGTTAGTTTATATGTGTCTTGACTAATCTCTCTTTCGTTCCCTACTCTGTAACATTATGCGTCAAGGACGATGGCATTCTGGTTGTTCCAACAATGCCATCTGTTCCTCCAAAACTTGGTAGCAAAGAGATAACCTCTGAAGACTATCAAAATCGAGCTTCAAGTCTGCTTAGCATTGCTAGCATATCAGGATGTTGTCAGGTAAAATCTCTCTCTCTCTCTTTTTCTCTCTCACCTGCCATGCCAGTAAAGATGATGTCAGTATGACCTTTGTGCCCCTCACACATAACAAAAGCAACGACTGACCAGTCAGCATTAGCAAACCCAGTCCACAGTGTATGTGTCTTACATTTATTATGCTGATATTCAGGTGACTGTGCCACTCGGACATCATGAGAAGTGCCCTGTCTCAGTTTCCTTCATAGCAAGGCACGGTGGTGACCGCTTTTTACTAGATACGGTGCAGACAATGTATGCATCTTTGCAAGAGAACTCGAGCATTGTTGCCGATCCCAAATCTTCTAAAAAGACTATCACGCAAGAAGAGTCAGCTGAGATTGCTAAAGAGAAGGTCAATTAATTTCCATTGTAGGTCCCATTTTCTCAATGACATTATCCTCCTAAGTCTAATCTGTGTCTCGTGATTATGTTAACCAGGGTAATCAAGCATTCAAAGAGAAACAATGGCAGAAAGCTATTGGTCTATACTCAGAAGCTATAAAGCTAAGTGACAAGAATGCTACCTATTACAATAACAGAGCTGCTGCATATCTTGAAGTTGGAGGGTAAATGTTTCTCAGATCCTTAGAAATATTTTTTAGTGAGCTTATCTTTCCATGTGACCATTGCCCTGACAAATCATTTACATACAGCTTTCTCCAAGCCGAAGAAGACTGTACCAAAGCCATAACCCTCGACAAGAAGGTACTTCCTTTAAAACACAGAAGCAGATTTCTCTTGTAATAACACTCTTTAAATCGTAAGAACACTCAACACAAAGACCGTATTTTAATATTATTTTTTGCAGAACGTCAAAGCCTATTTACGAAGAGGAACCGCAAGAGAAATAAAAGGCGATTACAAGGGAGCTATAGAAGGTAAGCTTTAAAGGAACATAATCTGATTGGCTTTGTGTTGTGGAATTTGGCAAGATAACACTCCAAAATGTTGTCTTCTTGTTTCTTCTTGAAAATCTGCAGATTTCAGATACGCACTTGTGCTGGAACCAAACAACAAACGAGCGGCTCTATCAGCAGAGAGACTAAAATTATTCCAGTAAGAGCTTCTTTTGTCCGTGCCTCACCGATCATTGAGAAAACGTTTGTTCCAAGAGTATAGGGCCAATTTTGTTACGCTTCTCTTTTGCGCCTGATAGATATTTAGGCATTTTTATCTACATACCCTTTTGCATGTCTTCGACGGAAATGGAAATTATATTTTTATATAATACGATGTTTATTTTAATGCTCTCCAAAATTGGGTATCACAAACTATTGTTAATCCTAGACACAGGATGCCGGAATTCCCGGTCAACTTCTAGTCAACCTCGAATAAGGTCATGTCTTTAATTATCTTCTCCTTAACAGTTTCTTTTCTCGCACGTTATCTCCTCCTCACAAGTCCAAATCAAAGAAAACAGAGTAAAAGAGAAACAAGAAACCGAAGAGACCTACCTGCCGTTCGTTAATCTTAAGCGATGCAAATCTAAACGTAACGAAACTTGACGAATACACTAAAGAGACACATTTCAATTATCTTCACGGGTGAGTTGGTACGTTTAATCTCTTTACATAAAGTTTCAGACAGATTTTAGAAAACCCTTTATCTTGGTTGTGCCTTTTCCCTCATGAGAACTAAACTAAAACGTATGCGTTGTTGCAGCACTCTAAAATAAATACCAACAAAAAAAGAGAAAGAAAGTGAGCAAAGAGAGAAAGATCATCGGGAGAATTAATAGAAAGGAAATGGCAACGGCGGGTCCGGCGAGGACAAGCTCACTAATGGACGATCTCTTGGGACTTCTTAGAATCCGCATCAAACGTGGCGTCAATCTAGCCGTCCGTGACATCAGTAGCAGCGATCCTTACGTCGTCGTCAAAATGGGCAAACAGGTTGCTGCTATAATATATATCATCAACGTTACAATAATTTCACAATATTCATCATTACATGAAAAGCATTAAAATTCTTAAAAGTATTTTAAAATTAAATTTTGGCAGAAATTGAAGACTCGTGTTATTAACAAAGATGTAAATCCAGAATGGAATGAAGATCTGACTCTCTCCGTTACAGACTCCAATCTTACGGTCCTCTTGGTATTTTATACATTCTAAACCCTATGTTAATTTTTTTAACGTACGATATATGTTTTGCTTAATACTGATAGAAACTATTATATGTTATATATGTAGACGGTGTACGACCACGACATGTTTAGCAAAGACGACAAGATGGGCGATGCTGAGTTCGAGATAAAGCCGTATATTGAGGCTTTGCGGATGCAACTCGATGGACTCCCTAGTGGAACCATTATTACCACGGTTCAGCCAAGTCGTCACAACTGTCTAGCTGAGGCGTCTCGAGTCACTTGGGTTGACGGTAAGCTAGTCCAAGATCTCGTTCTTAGATTGCGACACGTGGAATGCGGAGAGGTCGAGGCTCAGCTTCAGTGGATTGACCTCCCTGGCTCCAAGGGTCTATGATCAAAAACAGGATTAAGGGGAAAAAAAGACAAGAAACTGGATCTAAAAGGATAGAGAATTAGAAAAGCATATTAATCCACGAGGATATTATAAGGATTAAGAACGTCGAGGGCAGTTTTTGTTCCCATATGGTGACCGAGTCCAAAGTCGAGTCGTGGTCGTGGATGTGTATATTTGGGCTAACAATGCCTTAAGGCTTTTAATCAATCAACATACAAGTATATATAAATATCTTTTATATCTATTTGTATATTGTTCCATAATATGTTGTGAATGTTTTGATATTAATACCATTTACTATCGATATCAATAGGAGTTTTCTCAACAATTGATTGACATTATAGAAACACAGCTTCGGTGATTTTGGTAAAACTAGATTCACATCTAAATTAACCATAATTAAGTACTATATAAAGAAACTTGAAAAAAATAAATAAATCAAAAGGTTTGGTAGGTGAAGAGAATCCAGATGGACAGTAATGAGTGATGCACAATGGCTTTAAAACGACAAAACACGTGAGCCATAATTGTCCTTTTATATACGGACGTGTCACTATGATCTAACAATAATGTAGCAAGTGACTGTGACAAGAGTGAGTGAGCCTACTACCATATGATATTTTCTCACTAAATTTATAAAAGATTCGACTCTAGTGGAGTATTATACAATATTAATGATCTCTTGTCCTAATAATGTAAGTTTGATAGATCCCAAGGGACCCCAAAATCTCGGTTCCCCATGAACGATCTAGAGATTCCCCTTCCACCAACTCCTCCAAAAATTACTCAACCATATAAATAATGATAATGCACGCACATATTTTATTTTCATTTTATATTAGATCATTGTATTGTTTGTACTGTATATATTTTAACATTTTTGAAATACATTTTGTACTAAAATCTATTTTGGGGCCACCGGTCGATACTCTAAAATGTAATTTTGACGCGGCTTTTGATAGCTTTTCTAAGAGAACAATGGGGGGTTGGATCATTCGCAATTCAGATGGTGTTTCTTTAGGTTGGGGAGCTTCTCAACTAGGAACGTCTATTTCGCCAATATAAGCCGAAGCAAAGTCATTACTAGCTGCATTACAACAAGTTTGGATAAGGGGTATTATGAATATTTGTTTTGAAGGAGATTGCAAGTTATTGATTGATCTATTACAAAAACAATATTCTGATATTACAATTGAAGCTGTTCATAGGGAATTCTCTTTTGGGTTAACAAGTTTTCCAATGTTTCATTTGCTTTTTGTAATAGGAATTGTAACAAAGTTGCCCATGTATTAGCTTCTTCTGGATGTATTTCGTTTCCTTTTTATTCTGATTTTTTAAATCCGCCTGTATGGCTATCAGACCAATTGTATTACTATCTTTTCAATTATCAAATATAATTATATTTTGATGGAAAAAAAAAATCTATTTTGGGTTATAACTTTTTATTTTGTAATATTTGTATAATCAACCCCTTGCCATTTGAATAAATAACAAAATTTAAAGTAAATTTTGTAATTAAATCACAAGCAAATCTCAAAATTGGAAACAAATATTTATTACATTAAAAAAATTTCCTAAAATATCTCTCTTATAACTTGAATCTCTCTCCAATATATTTATATAATCTTATTTATTTTCCATGAATATTATTACATAAAAATATTTATAATAAAAATACAAATTTTGTTCCACACATTTTGCAATTTAAAGTTTTGAAAACGGACATATATAACTCAATTAATAAAGGGAAAATGTTTATATAAGAGTTCAAAACCATTATAAATATGACTAATATGTTTCAAACTAAAAATGAGCATGAAATTTGGTTTCTTAGGCATCCAAATTAAAAATTTATTCTGTTTAATCCTGTTATATATTTAAGAAAAATATATTTTTAAAAAGTTTCAAAATATTATAAATTTTAATTTCTTGGAAAGGTTTAAAATATTACAGAAACTCTTACTAATGCAATAATGTTATAACATTTGATTTAAAGTATTATTAATATTTTAACTCTAACTATTTTAAAATATAATAATATTGTACATAAATATGATTGGACGGATTTGAGTTAACATAAATATGATTATAATTTTCTTACGGGTTGTCTATAATAAAATATTTTTACGGTTAAGTTAAGATATAATTTGTTTTATGACAAAATTATTCCCCGGTGTACCGCGGGTTAACCACATATATCTATGAATCTACTTATAATACAGATTCATAAAATTATGTAAAATCAAATGAAATAAACACGTATAAAACTATACTATATAAACCAAATACGAAAATGAACAACCAAACAAATATATTAAATTATGAACGCGTGGTGTAACATGGGATAAATCCTAGTATCAAAAGTATATAGTAAAACTAAATATTGTATTAACCAATACGTTACACGCTAGTATTATTACCACCGGTTTTGACCAAATCAAAAAGAAAGGAGATTTAAAATAACCGACGGTTAAGTAAAAAAGTGTTTTACAGTCAGTCAGTAAAAGTCTCTGCGCGAGGTGGCAGGTGACGTCGCGCCGCACCGTTTGCCTATAAATAAGGGCGCGCACGGACACTATCTGAGAGAGCCACACACACTCACACACTCGCTCTCTTTCGCTCAGATCTATAAAAAAAACACCTGAATTACATTTCCCTCCCCGACTCAGACGTTCTGTGAGAGAATTGATGCAGCAGAGAGGACGATCCGCCAACCGTAGATCTCGAAGCTTCTCTAGATCCAGACTCGCCGTCGAAGGCCATTGAAACTCTCTCCGTAAACAACATATCCTCTTCTTCATTTCCCTCTTTTTTCCCACCAACATTTCCGACATGGCTGCATCCTACGGTGAGATCACTGATTCGATTGCTTAAATTAATCGAATGTAGAGATTTAAACAAATCAAGGAAGAGAATGAGAAATTGATTCATATTTGATTTGTGTTTTTTTTTTTGGGTTGGATGAGAGTAGAGGAAGAGCGTGATATCCAGAAGAACTATTGGATTGAGCATTCGGCTGATTTGACTGTTGAAGCTATGATGCTTGACTCTCGAGCTTCTGATCTCGACAAGGAGGAACGTCCTGAGGTAGTTCACCATACCTCTTTCTTTGGATCTAGATTGAGTGATACACACCGTTTTTAAATTTCAGTTTGAATTTTTAAAATTGATGGGTTGATTTAACTGTGTAGGTACTCTCTTTACTCCCTCCATATGAAGGCAAATCTGTCTTGGAGCTTGGAGCAGGAATCGGTAGGTTCACTGGTGAATTGGCTCAAAAGGCTGGTGAACTCATTGCTCTTGACTTCATTGATAGCGTCATTAAGAAGGTTTACTATTGTTCTGTTCACCTTCTTTCTCCATGTTTCTTTCGCTTCTTTGTTTCATGGATTGTAATCTTGAATGCTGCATTTCTTCTTTCTTGTAGAATGAAAGCATCAACGGACATTACAAGAACGTCAAGTTTCTGTGTGCTGATGTTACGTCCCCTGACCTGAAGATCACTGATGGATCCCTTGACTTGATTTTCTCCAACTGGCTCCTCATGTATCTTTCTGACAAAGAGGTATAAGTTGATCTTTTATTAAAGACAACAAAATAATATCTCCTAGTGAGGAACAATTTAAATTTTAACCAACGGTTTTATATGGATGCAGGTGGAGCTTTTGGCAGAAAGGATGCTTGGTTGGATCAAGGTTGGAGGATACATCTTCTTCCGTGAATCTTGCTTCCATCAGTCTGGGGATAGCAAGCGGAAATCCAACCCAACTCACTACCGTGAACCCCGTTTCTATTCCAAGGTTCCTACTTCTCTTACATCCAGTTAATAGTTACATTTCCAGAACTACAATCTCAATGGTTAATGCCTTAATGGGGTGAACAGTGGTTAGAAATTAGAACTGCCTATGCTTTAAGAATATGTTGAGACTTATGGAAGTCACAGTGGGTTGAATTGAATAATAGAGGATACATCTTGAATTCCTTCTTATTGACTGAGACCTAACTGTTACTTTATACTTTGATGTATCAGCGTATGTTAGTTTTGACTTATCAGATTTTGAAGTAATGTAGTGGTCATTGTTACTTGTCTCTAAATCTGTTCATGCAAATTATTGGAAAACTTCAAGTACATTCACGTAGTACTTATGTGGCATTTGTATTTTACTGGTTAAAATTGAATGGTGAATATATGCAGGTCTTCCAAGAATGTCAGGCGCGCGATGCTGCTGGAAATTCATTTGAGCTCTCTATGATTGGATGCAAGTGCATTGGAGCTTATGTGAAGAACAAGAAAAATCAGAATCAGGCAAACAAGACCCTCTCTATCAAGAATGTCTAGTTTCCTATTATTCTAAGATCTTAATCATGAATAACACTCGTTGTTATGTCGGATGCAGATTTGTTGGATTTGGCAGAAAGTCAGCTCAGAAAATGACAGAGGCTTCCAGCGTTTCTTGGACAATGTTCAGTACAAATCCAATGGCATCCTACGCTATGAGCGTGTCTTTGGACAAGGGTTTGTGAGCACTGGTGGACTTGGTAATATCCCAATTCGTTTTTGCTTTTGTTTTGTATGTGCAGTGTTCTGTGTCTTAATTTAAGTGTGTCTGTGTCATGTTTCTTGAATCAGAGACAACCAAAGAATTTGTGGAGAAAATGAATCTGAAACCAGGACAGAAAGTGTTAGATGTTGGATGTGGCATTGGTGGAGGTGACTTCTATATGGCTGAAAAGTTTGATGTTCATGTTGTTGGTATCGACCTCTCTGTCAACATGATCTCTTTCGCATTGGAGCGTGCTATTGGACTCAACTGCTCGGTTGAGTTTGAGGTTGCAGATTGCACCACAAAACACTACCCAGATAATTCGTTTGATGTCATTTACAGCCGTGATACTATCCTGCACATCCAAGTACTCAACTTTTTCTCATTGTTCTCTGTTGGAAGTTCTATCACTGCAAATCTTTACACATCCTCTGTCTTTTTTCAGGATAAACCAGCTTTGTTCAGGACTTTCTTCAAGTGGCTTAAGCCGGGAGGTAAAGTTCTCATCAGTGACTACTGTAGGAGCCCAAAAACTCCATCTGCTGAGTTTTCAGAGTACATCAAACAGAGAGGATATGATCTCCATGACGTTCAAGCTTATGGGCAGGTTTGTCTTGTGTGTCAGCGATAAATGTTTTGGCTGTCCTCGAGGCCCTTTGTCTAATCCTATTAACACCTTAATATTCAATGTAGATGCTAAAAGACGCTGGCTTTAAAGACGTGATTGCAGAGGACCGTACTGATCAGGTGAATGAAACTAACATATATACTTTTTCTTTGAAAAAACCAAGGACTAGTTTTAACAGAGTATTTTTGTTTTGGTGTTTTCTATGTACAGTTTATGCAAGTCCTGAGACGTGAACTAGAGAGGGTGGAGAAAGAAAAGGAAGAATTCATCGCCGACTTCTCCAAAGTAAGTATATATTTCAGTTTAGGTAAATGAAATCTTGATTTTGTTTTGTTACAATATCTTAAAGCCGTCTCTTTACGACGTATATCTCACAAACGTAGGAGGATTATGATGACATTGTCGGAGGATGGAAGGCAAAGCTGGAGAGGTGTGCATCGGATGAACAGAAATGGGGACTCTTCATCGCCAACAAGAATTAACCAATCAAAATATCCACAATGTGTTTCCTTTGTTTTCTTCAATAAAAATGTCATTTCCGCTAGGTGATGATAAGTATGCAGTGAGTGTTATGTGACCCTTTTAAGTGGTGGTGTTAAATCTTTGTTTCCCTTATGTGGTATGTAAGCCGAATTATATGTTTGGTCTGTTCTTAGTTTTTCTAGTAAAATTTACTCTTTGATTTGAAGAATTTTCTAAATGCGTTTGTTATGTTATCCCTTTTAGTTTATTTTGTCAGTTTGACTTTGGTTACTGTTCGATAAACCGGATTGTTCGATGGACATATGGCTACGGTTGGGTTCTTTATTTATTGGCACTGATTTTTTATTTTCAGCGTTCAGTCAACTTCTGGTCACTATTTTGTTTCTAAGAATTATTCACCAACTCAGTGATTGGGCTTCTGGGCCCTGAAGTATTATAATTGTATTGAAAGTTTGAAACCGTAAACTTGTCAAATCGGTTCAAAACTTCGGTTAAAAAATATAATTAGTTGAGTTCCCATCGAATATATTGGCATTTTTGTTAATCTACGTATATAAATGCTGATTTTTTTTCAAATTAAAAATAAAACACCAATAACGTATTTTTTTTTTTTTTGGCTGGTAGAGAAATTTGTAGGAGAAGCCTGGGAATAGCAAAAATAAAACTTTCTTATTAGGAAATAAAACATTCCATAGGGTACCAATAGCCCATAGGACTGCTCAAACGTAGTGTGAGGGAAGTAAAGAGAAAAGCCTTGAAATCACACACACACATTCACATTCACATTCAAAAAAAAGAAAGAAAGAAAGAGTAGATTCGTCAGACTCCTCCTATTTAGGTTTTGACCCAACCCTACCCTCTACCTCTCCTATGCACACACACACCTACCGGCTACACTGTTCTATTTCTGTAATCAACAGTGTCAATTTCAATCTCTACACAGTCAATTTATTTGCAAAATCCATCAATTTCCCCCACAATTGTCAACTAACTCAAAAACATTCTAGATATTTGTCTCTTTTTCTTTTCTTTTTTTTTCTCCTTTTGGATTTAATGTTAGATATATATTGACTTGTTATATACTGTATTCGTTATTTTATTTTTATTTGGTGACAACATATTCGTTTTAGAAAGAACCCAAAAATCTATAGACTATTAATAGCTACGTTCCTTCATCAGTAGCTAGCTAATTAAAATAATATATATTTATACAGAGAATTTGATGCAGTCTTACAATGTCAGAATACTGTAAATATATATATATATATATATATATATAGTGTTAATTAAATGTGCATGCATATTATTATACTGAGTTTTGTCTACATTATAATGTGTAGAATAATATAATAATATAAATGAATACGTACACACGTGACATATATAAATAATATATGTAAAATGGTGTTATTATGATGACCTCATGATAAGAGAGATCACTGACAAATTTTGTAATGGGAAAAGCTTGAAAATAGGCTTTAATCATTTAGTCTTTGATAACTTCTTCCTTCTCTCTTCTTCTTTCTTATGGAGAGAGAGAGAGATAGAGAGATAGATAGAGAGATGAGAACGAAGATAGAAGAGAAGAAAGAATCACATGAAGCGTTTAACCCAAAATAGGGAAAATGCAGAGAATAGAGAGAGAGAGAGAGAAGAGGGGAGCCCGGTGGGGTGTGAGTCACAGCCAACCAATGGTCCACCTCATGCCTGTCACCATTTTGTCCCTCACAGACACACCCCTCCTTCAGTCTTGTCAATTCCTTCTCTCTCTCTCTATCTCTTAATTTGTCTCTTCCCCACAGTTGGTGTTATCACGAATGTTCAAAATTTATCAATGACCACTCCTATTCGACGATTGTAGTCATTTTTGTAGTCTTCAGCTAGAGGTTTCTGTAGCTAGAGACAAATACGAATTGCCCACGGATCAATCCATCCATGCATGAATTTAACATGTCGTCAAGTATATATATGTTTCTAAACTATATACTCTTAGAAACACCATCACTTTCATGCAATAACTACTATTCACATCATATCTATTATCTTCTACTCTCTATATATGTAATTACTATGTAAGATTCCACTTTAGTCATACATATATCACATTTTCCTTGATTGTTATGCATGTCATTTATGAATGAATTATTATTATCTGTGTAGCTAAAGACCGTAGTAGTTAATCTTATGCCAAGTAGTGAATTCTTATAACACGTCACAGATGATACTATGACGGAATCAAAGGAGGAGACAGAGATTTTTCAAAAGATCCGTTGAGATTATAACCAAAAGATTATACCGTACGATTACACTTTACCATTAATCTTGGTTACAATTCACGAGAAGATTTGTGTTTCTTTATTTCCTAACAACAATATATATTGTATGTAGGATCGTACTACGTACGTGTGGTAATCTGTTGACTATATACGCCTACGTACCCATTAACATTTCTCTTCTTGCTTTTTTTTTTTTTTTCCTTTCGTATATATAGAATTGATTAAAGTTACTCCATATGTTTTTTTTTTTTGCTTACTTCCATGCTCACAAGAATCACAAACACTCAATCATCATGAAAAAGAAATAAAGCGGATTTACAAAGTGAGTGAATAATGCATCAAAATAACCAATGCAAAGAAATATTTTTACTATGGATCTTGCATCTAAAACTATTAATAAAGAAAAAGGTCTCATATGAATCGTACAAAGAGACATAAAAGAATGAATGAATCTTTGGGAAGTGCAAGGAAAGTGTCGGGGCTTCTTCTATGAATATGCTATTCAGTTCTTTTGTTTTTCTTCTTCTAAATTTTTTTTTTCTTTAATAAGAGGTCTTGTCTCTTCTCTCCTCTAAAAGTCGCTCTTCTTTCCTTTTCTCACGTTCCCACTTCCCACTCTCATATCTTTTGTCCTTTTCCCCGTTTGAAAAAAAAAATAACATTGGGTATGCTATTATACTTCCTTAATTTCGTTGATATATAATACCTATTGTGAAATGTGAAATAACTATATATTAATTTTTCGTTTATCAAATAAAAATTTTCAAAGAGTGTAGGAGGAAGATATTCTATATAGGAATAGGAACGTACTACACATGTAGTATGATGAGAGGGACGTTGAATAGGAGGAAGATAATGTATACATAAATAGCAAATGTAAAGGCATTTTGTTGGTATATATGTAAGCGAGCTCGATCGAAAGAGAAAAAAAAAAAAAAAAAAGACCCAAACCAATTAAATTGTCCCCACTCTCTTAGTCATTTCAACATCAACCCAATTCTTTTTGTCTCTCGCGCATTTATAACTCATAGAAACAGCTGCCTACATTGACACATGCATTATGCATACATAATTGCGATATAATATTCACATATATATATAGATCATGTATGTGTAGATATAGATAATAATAATATCTAGAGTTTCCATTTTCGTAACATTTTGATTCCCTCACCAAAGCAACAATTATAGCTTCATTCACCAACTAATCACCAACCAAACCAAGCAAGTTTCATGATCCAAACCCTAATTCACCACATCCACACAAATGAAAGAAATTTTTATAAAAAATCACATGTATTTTCTATTCTTTTCTTAAAATTTGTTTGGTTCATTTATAATATATAAAGAAAGTGGTCCAAAGTGCGTTTGAAGGCAAACCCTTATGAACTGTTAACATCAACACCATAAAGACACGCCTGCGCTCACTCCCAGACAAAACCCTAATTAAGTAAACCCCTTTTCCCTAGCTCTCTCTCCAGCTTGCTTGATTAATTAAACTATGATCATCTAATAACAAAAAAAAAGAAAAGAAAAGGTCTTGCATGCTATGGAAAGACAACAAATAGCTAGCTAGCTAGGGTTAGTTCTTCAACGGCAGAAACTCATAGAAACAGTGAATACCACTGATCTCCTTTGCTTTCTCAGCATCGCTACAAAACCCTTCTTTTCTCAGTGGAAACAGCTCAAGTGTTTGTTCTTGATGATCCGACTCACTGTTGGAGCACTCTTCATGTCCTTCTTGATCTTTATTGTCATCACAATTCCGAAGACAAGACTCGGCGTTCGTTGCTCCTCTCGTGCTTTGAAAAACAGGTAAAAGCGTGACCGAATCTTTAGCAGGAGAAACGGTATTAAAACTGCTAGTGGAGACGTTGGGGGAAACAGTTGTTGAATTGAGAACGAGCTGGTTCCGCTGGTGATGATGTGAAGAAGGGTAGAGTCCAGGTGGCAACTGCATCATCTGCCACGTGACGTTTCTCCCAAGAAAACCACGTCTCTCGTCTCCTCCACAACGACCATTCCGCTCGACCCGTATGTTCGCTGGCTCCTCCTCGTGGTCATCATTATGGCAAGGTTTCTATAATTAGTCAATTTGATTAGCATCGGGAAATGTAGAATATTGGTAACAAATAAGTCAAAATCTTTTAGCAAACCGACAAACTTTATGCTTAAAAAATCGTCATTCTCGCATAGACCCAAAACTAATCAGTAAAACAAATTCCAGATAGGGACAGGGGTGAAGGAGAACGAGACCGTTAAAGAGAAAGGTCAAAACGGTCTTTTCAAGCATGCGTTTGGAGTGAAAAGAAAAAAGCACATAAATTAATTTATGGGGAATTCAGGAAAAACAAGAAGACACATCTAAAGGGATCGATCGTACGTAGCAGCTGTCCCGACAGAAAGGAAAGTCTCTGCAGCTTTTTGGATCAACTCCATTAATCATCTTATAAAATATGAAATATTAGTTTCAATACTCCGTCAAATTACTACTATATGCCTATATGCTATATTTAATTATGTTGGCATATACTAAAAAGAAAATACATATATATACTTATTTGCATTTCCCGATAAACGAACTTTTTGGTCTTTTTCACCGCCTCATCTTCTCTGCCTTAATTTGTTGTTTTTCTTTCGAACTTACCCAAACTTCCAAAAACAAGAATTAACAGATTCTATTTGTAATCATAAGCTAATTATGTGTAACCCTTAATCACATTCCCTTTCATGCGTCCAATAGGAGACCACCAAGACTGTTAATTAGTTTTTAACCATAAAAACATATGTATCGAGACATACCTCAAGTTGTGTGTCGCATCCGACCGAACATATCCAGTTCTTGGCCTGTTCGACCTTGTAACCTGCAAAATTCGAATAAATAATTACATTTGCAAAATGTCAAATCCGGAACTAAATGTCTAATCAATCCAAAAAAAAAAATAATAATAATACAAAAAGGAAACTAGCTAGTTCGTTGTTTGTTTGAAATAATGTAATCGACCACCTTAAAATGGTATATCTCACCTGGCGGGTCCTTCTTGTCGAATCCGTGGTTTGAGACAAGACTTGCGGTTGTAAGGACCGATTCTTCTTGGCCAGTTTCCATCTGCCGTCGTCGTTTCTGGCGTTCGCGGGCTTTGTGGTTTTGGAACCAATAAAAAACGTTTTTACCTTCTATCTTCCCGTACCGTCTTAGCTGTGCGGTGATTTGCTGGATGTGGTCGGCAGAAGGAGTTCTTGTTCCTTGTCTGTAAAGCTCCTCAAGAACCCTTAACTGATCCGGGGTCGGATTCCACCGTGAGCTAACCATCACTGCCGGCGGATGTTGAGGTTCTGAGTTTAGCATCATCAGCTCCCTCTTGTTTTGCTCCGCCGTCATCGTCATCACTGCTGTGAAAATGAAAACAGTCAATAAAGCTGTGAGGATTAGGGAAACAAGAGAATGAATGAGAAAGAGAGAGCTAGGGAGAGAGAGAATGAGACCCATATTGAAGCGATGGTCAGAATTGGTGTTTGGGGCGGCGGTAGGACAAGAAGAGAGGCGTGGTATGAGAGGACGAAGCCTTCTTCCTCCGTTGAAAGAATCTGGACCTCCTTCGTTGTAACCCATCGTCCACATTTTGACCTATCTGATTGATATATGTATATAGTTGAGTAGAGAAAAATTATACTTATATTAGGGTTTTTTTCTTCTTCTCAAGGAGATGAGAATGAATGATATGAGGAAATAGAGAAAAAGTGGAAAGAGGTATTGGCTAATTAATGGCTTTGAAGTAGAGCTAGTGATAAAGTCGAGATATATCTTTGTATGTGAATTTGTGAGAATGGGAGCATGGAATTGTGGTTTTGTAACCACATATATGTCTATATATATAGAGAGAGAGATAGACAGTCTAACACATTCCTTTTTTTTTTTTAAACAAAACATTAACATTCTCCATATGAATATAATATACAATGTTTCTTTATTTTTGTGTTTGTTCCATTTATTTTTAAAAAATATACACCGGCTTGCAAAATTAGTTTAATGTAATTAAATGATTCATATTTCTAATAAATTCCTGCTTAGTAACCCTACTAGGAATCTATTATATATGGGGTTAATGTAACAATGTAGAAAATTAATAGAATAATTACTTTAATTACTAAGTTTTGCATGATAAATGCTTTCATGAACAATGTGTACAATTAAATTGATATTCAAACCGTGGGTAATAAGTCTGCGGATGATGAAAGTACTATAAGCAATAAACAGATAAAACTGACATACAAATATATTAGCTTCCACCCCAACCATATATATTAATTTGAGTTTGTTCCTCTAAAGAATGTAGATGACTAAACCACTATGAATTAGCCAATTTCAGTAAAGACAATGATCACCGATATCACAATAAGCTATTAGTATTTGTTGGAGTGATAGAGAGAGATATACAAATCTTAGGGATCATGATATGACCATAATAACCATATGAATTTAGTGGCGTGTGGCTATGAAATATGAATAGATAGATATATCATGAGAGAGAGAGAGAGAGAAAAGGAGAGAGAGAGGAAAGTAAGGTT